AGTTGAAACTATTCATTGACATTTAGTATACATTTCATGGATTTCAATCTGCAATTAAAAAATATTAAATTCACATCAAACAAAAATGTTGAATAAAAAGTGAGGGAGTAGTTCTCTTTCAGTAAAACTTGGTTTTCATGTCAGGAAAATCCCAGATTATTCTGACAAATGAAACTTGAAACCATAGAGATTGCCAACTGTCTGGGATGGTTGGCGACAAATCTGGAAAATTGGGAGTGTTTCTATTTTCCCGATGTGCCCCAAATTTCAACGACAATTGGTAAATCATTCACAATGTATGAAAACTTCAATTTCCACTGTCTGGGACATTGGTAATAGTTTGAACTTGCTAGTGGCACTTTAGCTGCTTAGCTAAAATACCCCTGAGTTACACAATAATAAAAATGGCATATGGAGGAATTTGGGAAAGATATGTGTCATTCTCCCTTATATCCACAAAATCTGAGGCAGTTGGGAAAAAGTGAAATGGTCGATCACCTAAGATTTTCCAAACACATGAAAATAAGCTTAACAACATCAAGCATTATTCTCTGATGGACTTTATACCTGTGGCAACAGCAACCTCAATGGCTGCCTTCTTAGCAATTTCAGCTGATGTTTTGTTTAATCTGTACACCTAATAATAGAAAGGTAAACAATTATTGTATTAGTTGTCAGACTAAAAATAATAAAAATATCATAACACTAATAATTGATAATAACAAATAAAAATCATTATTATCTGAGTTATAAATCATGATGATGATTTTATTGTCATTCATTAACAATTATTATTCCTCAAAACTATTACCAACAATTATCATAGGTTAATAATAAATTTTGATTGTTAATTAAAGGTACAGCCTTTAGTTCTCTAACATTCTTTACAGTGTTCATTTGGTATCTGTACTTATTGCAGCAGAATTGCACTTACCAAGTTTTCAGTTCCGTAATCTGCTTGTGCAATTGATGTTCCACTAAAAGTGTTGGTTTCAATAAAATCTGATCCTGCTTCTAAGTAACCCTGGAGTGAGTACAAAGATAGATCACATGCTTAAGAACTTAATTTAAACATGTAAGTATGTTAAGGTGGATCTGTAATTAATATAATTCATTGGAGATAATCTTACACTCTATATTAAATATAATTGACACAGGAATAACTTTACTAACACTCCACCATAGCTCAATACTCTCCCAGCTATTCATTGCTTGCAGTTTCCTTTACACATCTATCCCTTCAGCAGTTTCTGCTATTAATAAATTCTAATAAAATATTCTTTTTTACAAGCAACTTCACAACTAGCCAACCAAAAAAAAAAAAGAATTTTTGATCATGGATAACAGAAGTATTAAAATATTTATCTTCCTTACAACTTAGATTTGTCCTCTAAAGAATGGGAAGAAACATAATATTAATATCAAAAGTTTCAATACTTCACTTCATTTAAAATATCCTGTTCAAAAATTTTTTCTACACAATGCAATAACAGAGTTTACATGTTATTTGTCCATACCCTGTGAATCTCCTCTATAATATCTGGTCTCGTTAAACTTAGGAAGTCGTTATTTCCCTTCAAATTGTGTGAATGATTCTTGAATTCTTCTCCTGCAATCAAGAAATTAAATGACAGTTCACAAACAAAATAATAATAATATATGCAAGGTTTACTCTTTAACCTTCAGAGTGACTAGCATCTAATTTCTCCTTACATCATTGTTGGTGAATCAAACATAAGATCAGAAGAATAAAGAAATTGATCAATATCTGAAGGAGTTCATGATTGTTAAACTGATTTTCCTTTTCAGTACCATAGAAAAACATATGGAGGACAACGAGGAGAATCTGCACACATGATCACTGTTGAATCAAACATAAGATCAGAAGAATAAAGGAATTGATCAATATCTGAAGGAGCTCATGACTGTTTTCCTTGTCAGTACCATATAAAAAATAAAGAGGATAATGAGGAGAATATGGATGCTGATATTAGAGTGCACAGGGTTTTGGATACTTGCATCTAAACTTTAAACAGTGCTTTGCTTGTAAGTCTCGTTACGGCTGATTTATAATAATAAACTGAATTATACACTAAATTTGATTGGTTCATGCTTATAATGTCTTGGAGGGGCAGACACCTAGATAAAGTTACCATTAAAACATTTTGCTCTTTACAATGCAAAACAAATATATACAACATAAAAATTACAGCAACAAATGCCCTTCAAGAGGCAGATCGGCTGAACAAATGGTGCATTAAATCACGGCTGAGAATTTCTGCTTTGTCTAAATGTGTAATTAAGTCAGGCCTTACACACTTCAGCACAGTTATCGACTTCTCAGTTGTACGATCCTAATTTTTCTCTACGAAGACAAAATTACGTTTCATGGGACACCGTAGGAAGTCATAGGACATCGATTTCTTAATATCCTAACCATACTACTTTTCAGTTTTCTAAAACCGTGGTATCAATCAGTCGTCACGTAATTCGTGCAGTGATTTTACTGAATGATCTATCGTAAGCTTGCACAACCTTCAACATTGCGTGACATGAACAGATGAACGCAACAATTACCTAGAACAAGGTCTATTTGACTGAATTATTTGATGCAGTGATAACAAAGAGTCTTTGAAGTAAACTGGAAAATTGAACAATTCAACTACTTGTACAAATTTAGATTAAAAATACCCCTAAAAGAAGATCGAATTCTGATCACTAATTACGTCACACACCGTTTTTCGCTCAGTTACTAGGCCAACTATCAGTATCAGAAAACTGAAGTTACCTCTAAAATCCTCTTCTTCCAAATGATAACTTTGGATCATGGTCCCCATTCCACCATCAAGGATCATTATTCTTTGCTTTAAGGTTGCTTCTATTTCTACTGCCACGTCTGATGGAACAAACATCCCAACGAACAACAGCTCAAGATCAGAGAACAGCTGCGCATCGTAAACAAATTAAAAAAAGAATCTTTTACAATTTCACTTTCTTACCTGTGGAGTCAATTAAAGGATCGTTTACTCTAATAGTTGGAGGCATTTTGGAGAATAGAAATGAAGTGTTGTTAGTCAGTCGAATGGGAAGTCTTCTTCTTCTAAGTTATGTGCCGGCTATTTTTGTCACTATCATATAAATGTATCCGTCCCGCCATGATAAATTGCGCAAATTAACGGAGTTTGGGTACTAAGGTTAGGCAATATTCAGAAGAATCTAAGGCCTGGTATGAATGGTCAGTTTGGCAAGTATTTTTACTCAGCATCGTGATATCACCAATCAAAAATTGTGTTAGATTATTGCGAGTCATGCGACTCGTGCCTGGAATTTCCCAGAAAGAGTTTTAACTAGCCAGCGGTTCAGTAAGACATAAGTTTTTCTGTGGTATAAGCATCATCTAGGTAATATTCTTTACACGTAACATAACAACATGTCGAAATTTGAAAACATTGTTTGACTTTGAGATCCAACTAAGTTTTTCATGGAAAAAGAACTGGAAAAATACCGCGCTAGTCGAGCTGAAAAGTACAGGGAGACCAAAAAAATCTTATGGAGACCCTCTTTTTCTGTTCAAGGTTTGGGATTCAGCAGATTAACGTCATGGTTTCAGAGACATCCAGTTGATCATCGGGATGAGGAAGTTTTGCCTTGGTTTATTTTGTTCTTGAAAGTTCTCTTCTGGATCTTACTATGGGGTTTCTTTATTCAGATAGAGTTTGGAACCGTGTTTTTCTTTCTTTCAATGTTTTATTGGGTTTATTCAAGCATGCAAGCCAACACCAGAAAACCGTGGGAACCCAGCGCTTATTCTGTGTTCAACGAGAACTGTGAAGCCATCGACGGAACTCTGAATGCAGAGCAGTTTGAACGAGAATTGAAATTTGGAGCTGGAGCAGTTTCAGCTAATTAACTGGTGAAATGAATTTATATGCAGGGGAATCTGTAATTTGTAGCTAGCAAAATCATCAGTGGTTGACATCTCATTCAATTACCTGCTGTCATACTTGTTGTCATCATCATCACCATCACCATCAAAAACGGTCAAACCACATCTGACCTTTGAAACTCTAACATCAGTATGCATATTCTCCATACTGTTATAAATACCTTTCCTAAGGTGTGGACAAGGAGAATTTGTTGAATAATCAAGAGCTTCTTTTGTTTGTGATCATTTCTTCTATTCTCATAACCATATAATGTTTGATTGAGATACTGTAAGGAGAAATTAGATGCTAGTCACTTCAAGCAGTTGAAAGGTTAGCAAACAGCATCTAGCCAGCCGACATCAAGTCACAGTCTCTGTTAGTTCAAAGATCTCCTGTATCACAACTTAATTAAATATATTTTTCTGATATAAACCAAAAGTAGCTTTTGGTCTATCACTATCATAATCTCTGCAATTTAAAGGCTTACAACAACATTAATAGTTAGAGGGTTTTGGGGGCTATTTTTGCATGCCATAAAACAATATGATTTTTGGAGAGAGATGATTTTTGTTTTGTTGTATGGATGGGACCAGAAAAATATCCTGAGTCCTCATGGGGAATCAAACTGTAGACCTTCAGACTTAAGGCTCTGATGCTCTTCTAAAAAGCCACTGAGAACATACAATAAGCCACACCATTACTAGATTCATATGTGACATGTCCTGCAAACTGTGATGATCAGCAGTTAAAAAAGTCAAGAACAGCCATGACCCTCCTACATGAGCTGCAATTTTAGTGATTGCAGAAAAGAAGCTTGCAAAAAAAAATTAAGACTTTGATGGGACTCTAAACCTGTTCCTCTCAGATACTAGTTGGGTCAAGACTGAATTTGAGTTAGTCCCTACAGGCTCCCTTAACAGTTGCCGTTAGACAAACTTTGATCGTGGTATGCTGTGGCACCTTGCTAACATTAGTCATCATACTTCTCATCAACCTAACCGGGGGGGTTGGAGGAAGGAATAGTAAATCAAAACAAACATATCTTGACTCTCCCCAGATCTCTTCATTAGTCTTTCGTTTCTTACGTCTCGTGACCAAAATGGCGACTAAATCAGGATCATAGGTACCAAGCAGGAACTTCTCCATTAAATTAGTCGCCATGCCTGTTCAAACCTACAACATTCCACTAGTGTTACCGAGTCTTCGAAGGGAAGAATCGATTAACCAAATAGTGGATTCGTTGGAATATTTGGAGAAAGTGTCTAAAGACATATTCACCCGAATCAGCAATCGAGTTGCGGAAAACAAGAAACGATTAGAGGCCATAAATTATCGGGCTGATTTGGCACAAGCCAGAATCGATAAAATAAAGGGAATCAAGAAAGCTACAAGGGTGTTTTCGAGTGCGAAATACCCAGCTCCGGAGAAACTTGAGCCGTATGAAACGCTGTATTCTGAAGAAAATGAATTGTCTGAAATAAAGCGTCAAACGTACAACCTGAATTCGAAGTTTGTCCCAGTTGATGAACGAACATTGAAGGATAAACTGCAATTCTACAACGTACACTTGAATGTTAAGAAGAAACAGGACGAAATGAAAGGGGAAGGGCTGGGTTCCCTTCCGAAGAATCTTCATTCAGTCAGTTCGTTGTTGCTTTTCAATACTACTGAAAATCCGTACAAGAAGTATGTCATGTTAGATCCGCTTGCCGGTGCGGTTACCAAAACAAGGGCCAACATTGAAGAAGACGAGGAAGACATCGGAGCAGCACCCATTTCCATCACTCAAGGAGAAGCGCTCGACAGATTGACAGCGCAAAATTACTTCTACGTTCCAAACTTGGGAGATGTACCGGAGATTGATGTACCTGTGTACCTTCCGGATCTTCCTGGGATTGCAGATGACCTCTCTTACAAGTACTTCTTCAGGATTTTTTTTATTTTTGCATGTATTTATGAATTTCGTTAGTTAGGTATTCAGTTAGGTAATTGTTTGTTTATTGTTTATTATGTCAACATTATGAAATATTGTTAGTGTAGAGTGTTAACTCAGAAGTTATTAAAATTTAAATTCTTCTCAAAAAAATCCTCATCTCATTCAGCAAACAGGTAATAAAAAAACTTAAACTTATCAGGTAATCATTTCAATCTAACAGCAAATTCTCATAACTAATTTACAAGGAAATTTGTAGTAGCAAGGGGGAGAATTAACAATCAGATCTTGGGAAATAAAGGGTTAAGATCCAGCTTTCACTTGTTTCCTGCCATAGTTGTTCGGTCTCCATTTGTCTCAATAAGAACTCCTGTCGTGATTTAAGCAGTCCATGAGAAACTTCAAGAAGCCCTTTAATTATGTTATGAGAGTTATTGAATCAAGGAAGAGCTAAATCCATTTCTGTGATCAACGCACAAAATAGATTTTAGCCATTTTAATGCTTGCATCACTCTGAGTCTAAGTTTTGTCTTTATTCAATCTACAGTGCAGAGCTTGGTCCTTCCATAGCACCATCATTACCTGGTTCAAATATACCTGAATTACCTGATGTCCTGGAGGGAGAAATACCACAGACAGAAGGAGCCCCTCCTCCCCCTCCAGCACCTGGTCCAGCTCCCCCACCCCCTCCGCCACCACCTCCTGGACCTGATGCTCCACTGCCCCCTCCTCCCCCTCCTCCTCCTCCTCCTCCTCCAGGACCGGAATCAGCACCTCCCCCTCCTCCTCCCCCTCCAGTGGATGGCTCCTCAGGAGGTAAGTTAAAAACTTACAGTGAAACCTGTATTTATAACCCTTCACATCCTTACATAAGTACAAATATTATCCTTACTGTTCTCCATATATTTCCTATGGTATTGACAAGGAGAGTTTGTTAGAAAATCAAAAGCATCCTCATTTTTTATTGTTTCCTTGACTCTCATTACCTTAATGTTTGATTGAGAAGTGATACTGTTAGGAGTAACTGAATGCAAGTCACTTTTGGGATTTAACGGTAAAGCGAACGCTAGAGATACCCTCACTAGTATCTGCTTAATGCACATTTTCTTTCATGCTTACCACTAATTTGGACCTAGTTTAAATGTGGAACTTTCTGTGGGCCAAATTATTAAAGGAAGAAAAAGATAAATAGCTATTTTTTGGCAAAAACCTTTGCAGGAAAAATTATAAATTCTTCTTTTTTCCATTCACCACCCACTGTATATAACAGTAATGCAGCTTGAAGGTGTTCTACTGATGTTGATTGTATGATCTAGGTGATTTACTGGTTGCTGATAAAATTCATCACTGTTACAATCTTTGGTTCTTTATATTTGTGACATTGTTTTTATGTTTCTTGCCTTCATGTTCATCAACCAAGTAAATTTCAAAAGTTGTTTACAAGGCGAATCATTTAGCGATGTTTCAAACTATCAATAAACAACTATGTGCATGAGCTAAACATTGTTCCCCTGATGGTACTTAGTTGTGATCTTCCAATGGTCAGCAGAAACCATTTATTCTCTATGTTTCCACATCTTCATTGCAGATCTTCCCACCGATGTCCCTGCAGCAGTAGCATCTGATGGTAGGGCATCTTTAATGGAATCCATTCGCAAAGCAGGTGGCAAGGGCAATGCTAAATTACGTAATGTAAAGGAGAGAAAGCTGAAGAAAAAAGCAGAGAAAGAGCAGTCTGCCGTCAGTGGTGGGGGAGGAGGTGACCTCATGGGTGACCTCTTTGCTAAGCTGTCCATGCGTCGAAAGGGTATCTCCGGGTCTAAAGGTGAATCTGGTGGATCATCTGAAGTGTCCACGGGTGGAGGCTCTGCAATGGACAGGATCTCAGCAATGATTCCGGCTCCTCCAAAGAGTGATCGCACAGATTCTTTGCATTCAGGGGGAGGTGATGATTGGGATTAATAAGTAATCAATCACTAATTCTCAATCTTGGCCTGATCATCTTTATCTTGGACAGTTGCTTTATACTGTAAGAAGTGGATTTTTGCAAAAGAGTAGAGAACATAAAATGATTTTGTTTACTTTTTTAAGGTGTAATGTCATATCATAGACTAGAAATTAAACTTTTTCAATTTGATCCTTGTAAAAAAGGAAAATCTTCTCTGTTGTGTTAACAATAAAGAAGCAAGAAGGGGAAATGGCTTAGTTCAGGCTGACGGAGACAAACAAAAACACAGTTGTCTGGGGACCAGCTGCTTCCTTAGTTTTCTTTTCCTAGCATCTTCTATTTTCGGCATACATGCCTTACCACTTGAGGTTTATGAAAAAGAGACAACATTACCCTAATTGGAAGGAGAAAACTTCCTCAGGTCGTTCCCAAGTATAGCAAAGTAAATTATTTTGGGATATAAGCATGCACTAATAAAAATTGACTTCTCCTTCATGTGGCTGGGGTTTGTCTTCAAGGCAAATTTTGTTCTCTTGTTATTGGTCTCAGTGACCCACCTCTTACTTTGAATTGAGTGATGTTCTCTTTACAAACTTATGAACACAGACTTATTCCCAGAGCAGAATTAAAAGTATTATTATGAAAAGTGAATTTCACAACACACCAATATTAACACAGAGTTATTAGATATTATAAGTGTATATTAGTTTTTCAGAGAGAACTTTGTTTTAGTGAATCTTTCTCAAGATTTTTATTCCTACTAGGGTAAAATTAGCAACTTGTTTGAAAGGTTTGATAAATATCTCAGTAGTGCCAATTATCTATTTCCGAGAAAACATCTTTGAAAAATTTTTGTGTAATTATGGCAAATGATGATTTGTTATAGAATTTTTGAGCTTACTGTCATTTTAAAACCACTGAATTTGTTAAACATCAGTGTTTAAAGTTATTGTTTTCCTTAAATATCCGATATTTTTATATCAAGTACCAATGAATTTGTAGTGTTCAAGATCAACAGGCTATCAATTTTTAAAGAGTTCTGCCTTTTCCAAGTGGTGGGGGCTTGGCAAAATGATAGCAGGTTACAATGATAATGTAGGGCTGGTTTCTTTTCATTGACATAGTCAGTGTAAGCATAATTTTTCAGTCTGTTGAGACTCGTGGTCTGTTTGTGAAAGAACCTCTGATCTATTAGTACATGTCAGTGATGATGTAGGTCAAGAGGAATCAAAGGTAAATGGTAGATTGTAAACTTTCTACACTGCACAAGCCTAAAATGGGTGTTTGCCAAGGTACACTGGTCATTTCTACCGCGAGGAATTAGTCAGATTTGGATTGTATACTATGATGCACTTTGTGGTTATAAAAAATTTATGAGAATTCTAATAGTAATCTTTTACCAGCTGCTTCTCCAGACTCAAGACAAGTTTTGTTTCATCTTTTAAAGTTTAGTTTTCAAGGTTTGCAAACCTGTCCAAACAGTGCCAAGGAGTGAAATACATTGTTTGAAGAAATGTGGAGTAACATGTTCATAACTGCTCTGTCATACTCTAAATATAATACAAGCTTTCAACTGAAAATGGGATAGGATTGTAAGAAGATGTTGTTTAAGAAAAAAAAATGTTTCTTCTTCGAACATAACATGATATTACCATAAGGAAATACTATCCCACACAAAGTGACCCCTATGTTTCAAAACATGCCTACCACTGTCAATGTCTGCTCAAGAATTTTGGGCGAGAGCAAGCTTGTCCAAACATTTTTAACTGAAGTGGAAGATGCAAGAAGTGTTTATCAAATGATTTAGACTTATTACTTCAAACCAGCTGGTGCTGCTGTTGTAGTGGTGCACTGTTTAAATACATCACCTTGTGCTCTACTTAGACAGAAGTTAACTGTGGTAATTTAGTAACACAACCACTCAGATGAACTAAAAAATCCATCAATCTCCACATCACCCATTAACATTCACCAAATATGTTTGATTTCCCTAGAAGGGATAAATTTGACCTCTAAAAATGTGGTGGAGAATTTAATGCTAAATACCTTTCCTTCTATCACTTCAAAAAAATTTTCAGCAACGTTTTCACGTCTACTTGACAATTGCCGAAATTATACTCCGACAAAGGATAGAGAATAATAAACGAAGTTATCTTTAGTTGTAGGTTGCCTAATTATTGTCAGACTTTGGTAAATATGCCGAATGGGACAAGTCACTGATGTAAATATAGAATGCCTATTTCGAGAGTTGATGCCAAATTTCACGTCACTGGAACAGAGGGCGAAAAAAAAACAGGATACTTCTTTAACACTCCTTAGCGTCCTGAATAAAAGGATAGAGGATGTTCGGTACGATCTGAGTCTAGACAAATCCAATTTTCATTGTTCTGTTGTATAAGTTTCAGAGCGTTTCAGAAAATTGTAATTGACTTGAATAACTTTGGAATTAAAGCAAATCTACACCAATATCTACGGAAATTTCCACAAATATACTTAAATTGGAAGGTTTTTCAATTCCTAGGAAGATTAACCAGTCGAAAAGGATAGACAATGTTTACATACGCATGTGACTGAGCACTGCAGATGTGATCAAACGTTCTAGAATGCAAATCAACAATCATTAATTCGAAGCATACCTCATCTGCAATATTCGAGGCTCAGACTTTACCAAAACTTTAGCACTTTCACACACGTTCCATTATTGCCATCGCTCTAGTAAACATGTTAGATGTCTCATGAATTTGATGCTGCAGATATAGGAATTGAAAATACGCAAAATGACGCAGCTAATAGATTCAAACATTGAACAATAGCATATCAACTCTGCTTCACCAAAAACTCGCAGTAAAACCACAAGTCCATTTCTGTGATCAATCTGTATTTATTAGGCTGTGATGTTACACCAATTCATCAAAAGCAGAGATCTACATGATTTTTTTCTTTAAACGTCCACAATCAGTTAAAAGAGTTCCATTTGGAAAATGGTTAACGGGAGGCGACAAGTCCATGATGAGTCGGGATGCCATGAGACATCAGTGCTGCATTGACCGAAGGGTCCTTGTAGGCACCAGTGGTGGAAAACAGGCTCCGGAGAACGTTGAGCTCTTTAGTGAGAAAATCCACCTTGGATTGTAGGCGGGCATTCTCCTCTTGCAGCTCGTCAACTTTGTGCTGGGTCTCCACATATTTCTGCTTGCTCTTGAATCTGCTCTTGCGGACCGCAATGTTGTTTCGCTCTCGTTTCAAACGATATTCATCGCTTCCTTTCTCAACCGCTTTCTTCAAAGACGACGAACCACGACGGGATTTCGGCGCCTTGAGTTGCGAAGAGATGGAAGGCAGCCTGTTCGACTTCAGCTCAGGTTCTTTCGCCAGGTTAGTTGATCTGTACGTCACAGCCGGTTTAAGGGAATTTACTTTGGAATCTACTTTTACAATCTTAATGGGAGAGTACCCCCGTTCTACCTCGGGTAAATATGGCTCCACTACTTCTCTACGCTTGGGCTCTTTGGGTGCTAAATACTTGCTCAAATCTTCGGGACTGGTACTCAAGGTGGCAGGATCCAGGTAAGAGGCAAAGTCGATCGCGATGTCATTCAGATACGAGCAATTCTCATCCAGATCAGAAGCAGAGCTCAGATCCACATCTTCGAACAGCTCAGAGCAAGGAGAATTCGCTGCTGACCATTCGCCTGACTCATACAGATCGAGAACATCCATAGGAGCACATGATGAATATCCGCAAGATTCTGGCTCTTGCTTCAGTTCCAGTCCGTCAAAGATGGGGAGGGGGAAATCTAGTTCCTTTAAGGGAGGTATTTTGGCGACTTGTCCGGTAAAATTCTTAAAAAAATGGTCGGGTTTTTACACCCTAACGTTTTCGACGACGCTTCCGAATCTTAACGTTGGGAAGAGGGGCGATTGGGGGCAGACAGCGCATTTTAGGGCGGCCTTGAAAGACTCTCTTCCAAATTTAGACATAATAACAATTGCGTTTCTCTGATTGGCTCATGTCAAACGTAGTTGCTATTAGAAACTTGCCCCGGAAGAGCTTCCACGCGGGGGAGGGTGGTATTTCGAAATCTGCATGTGATTATGATGTCAGCATATAATCGGAAGAATTCGCAATTTCATAGAGAGTCATTTCCATTTTTAACTCTTTTCTCCGTTTTATCTCAGTGCTTCTGTAACTTAGCTCTCGCAAAGTGAGCAAAATTTGAGAAGACTGAAAAGGGGCGTTCCCAATTATCTGGACAACACCGAAAAAATGCTCCCCCCGGGATTCTAGCAGGAATTTTGTCAGGCAACACTCACGCAAAATTTAATTCACAGGCCAGGTGTGTGTCGAATAGTTAACTTCTGCTCTTCCTGTACGCAATCTGCCATGAACAAGAATTTCCGAGGGTCATCAGCTACAACTACTCCCATTGAAAGACGTCATGGGAAATTCAATAAATGGATATTCAATACAATACCTCTCGCTTAGGTGTTAGCTCCAAGTTTCTTGGCAACTGAAGAAATGTATAAGCATTTTTTGTAGGATTTGATTATCTCTTGCTAAAACCTCCAGAACACCTGTCCTTGAAGACGGTTTAATTAGTCCTTATCTGCGTTCTTCCGGTTCGAGGGAAAAATGCTGATACGCTGTCGAATCCAAAGAATTCGATGAGGGTTGAAAGGCTCTACTTGAAACAGACAAAATTATTCGTTTCAATACGATTAGCGTTATTAGGCGTTTTTATGTCAGGGTGGATGATAGACAGTCTACCCAAGACTAACTTGTCTTACCAGAATTAAAGTATGCATTATCGAATGAAAATTCATTAGGACGGATTATAGAATAAATCTCGGCGTGTTATTAGGCGAAGAGCTGGTTAGACTGCCAATCAACAATGATCAATAATAATCAGTCAGACAAAGATCTCGTCAGATTAGGTTTTCTGTCTCCCTTTACTCATAATTTCTGTCTCCCAAATACTTTTTGGCGGTACTGGTTCACTTAACGCCTTTTTCCTTTTATTTTTCTTTTTTTTTCCGGTCTGTAGTATTACTAGATCGTCTTCGACAGCTCTGGCACTGACATTTGCCAGATCTAGGAATCGGGGAGTTGGGGCTTGGGGTTGGTTTGTTCCAGACTTTCAGTTTGTAAAACAGAGCGAAATATGGAACAGCGCAATAGCAGCGGTGGAGTGAAAAAACGAGAGATCTTTGGGTCGGGTCGGGTCGGGTCAACCAAAACTCCCTCGCTTTTTCACTCAGCCACTACTAATCACGCCGTTTACAATTGCGCTTTGTTTTACTTACTGATCGCCCACAACAGGTTAGCTTGGGGCAATTTGGTCCTTCAGACCGTCCCCCTCGGATCCCCACGTATCCCCACAAAGTTATTTTTTCCTATGTTTTGTTTTCTCAATCGAGCATCTGATTGGTTGACTGCTCTCTATTGACCGCACTCGATCTACCTAATCAGTCTACCTGATCAGTCTAAACTGATTTTAGCCTAACACTGTTTTGATCTGTGGAAGACTTAACAGAACAAGGTTATGACTGTTTGTGCTGTTAGCTAGAAAAAGAGCAAATAAGAATATTTCAATAATCTGCGTTTGCTTTCTTTGGGTTCGCAGGGTTATGTAATCGCAGTTCGGTGAGAGATCTTCGAAGTTGTGTCGTGTTTACAATCGCGAGGTGCCCTCAGTTCTTAAATGGGTAAACTGTAGCGCTGTACCAATATAAGTTTTATAGACACGATGCCTTCGTCAGCCAGTGAAGAGATTGTCTTCTTTGTCAATGGCAGAAAGGTACGTTATTCACATATAGACTGCGAAGAGATACACGATTTTGAGTTCAAATGCACGCACGCCACACACCCTTGATCTGGTTTATATCTACAAGTTTTAGTCTAATTTTATTCATCGCAGGTTGTCGAAGCAAAGGCGCAGCCAGAAATGACTTTGCTCTGTTATCTGCGAAATCATTGTATCCTTTCATTACCATGCACATTTTGATCCCTCTGTTTTTGGATTTTTGTGGACGGGCGCTTTGCAAAAATATTAGCAAGTCATCGGGGTGATTTTTCAATTCGATGATTCAAGATGGTTTGACTAAAACTTACTGATCGTAAACTTGACGTGCTGTGCATGCTTTGTGAGTCTTAAGCACAAATGTCACGCCTTCCTGACCTTAGGACCTTCCTGAGGCTAACTGAAAATTGTAATTCCATTATGATCAGCAAACATGTGAATCACTGACTGGCTATTGATAGTGACACGTATAGAGCTCATTGTTTCGATTTTGGCCATTATATGTTATGAAAATCGGCACGTGATTAAAATTTGATTGGCAAATTTAAATGCATGGAACGCACATGTGTTCGAAGGAGATGTCTGTGGCTGTCTATACAGGTGTTCTTTGTTCTTTCCACTAGAATAATGTACAAACTTATGATTAAAGGTTAAGGAAAATATTTGCATGTTGGTTCAATAAAATCATGCATGAATATGCAGAGTAACGTGACTTTCAGAATTTTGCTATGTTCTGTTTTCTTTTTATTTTTTGTAATTCACTATGAATTAATTCCACAAAGTTAACAGTTATCCACCGTTCAGTTGGAGACAAGTGGTTAACAGAAACAATGAAGTAAATAATTCTTTGAGTATGCACCTCACAAAATGAAAAAAAAAAATATTAGATGCTCAGTTGGATTTTATATGAAACTGGTTAATCTTTGTAGCACGAAGTGATTCTTATCAGCCGTGAGCAAATTCTCAATCCAAATTCCAAATTCCTCTTTTTTTATCATGCAAATGAACACATTTTCTAGATGCTTTTTGTTTAAGCATCTCTGAGGGATTAAACTTTTTCAAATTTCTCTTTTTTTTTTTTCAACAAAAGATGTTTAATTTTTTTATATAGTGCTTGACAGCAAATGGAAATTATGATTTTCAGCTTAGGATATGATTGTGGGATGATACAATATTTAACAAAACAATTATTTCCTACTATGTTAATTTTCATGCTCTTTGGCAGCTCGAAGGAGAATTATACTTGCCTCAAGATATTATCTTTAGGGTAGCCAATCAACATGCAGGAAAAAAAGCACTATTCAACTGAGTAGTATTCAACAATTATTTGCTGAAGGCAAAGTGAATATGTTACAAAAAAATATTACATGCTCAGTTGGATTTTATTTTAAATTAAACTGGTTAAACTTTGTAGCATGAAGTGATTCTCATCAGCTGTGGGCCAATCCTCAATCCAAATTCAAAATTCCTCTTTCTTTATCTTGCAAATAAATACATTTTCTAGCTGCTTTTTGTTTAAGTGTCTCCAAGTGATTAAACTTTTTCAAATTGCTTTTTTTTTCCTACCAAAAAAAATGTTTAATTTTTTAATATAGTGCTTTACAGCGGATGGAAATTATGATTTTCAGGTTAGAATATGATTGGGGGATGATGCAATATTTAACACAATAGTTAATTTTTATTATGTTAATTTTCATGCTCTTTGGCAGCTTGAAGGAGATTAAACTTGCCTGAGGTTATCATCTCCAAGGTAGCTGATCAGCATGCAGGAAAAAATGCACTATTCAACTGAGTAGTATTCAACAATTATTTGCTGAAGGCAAAGTGAATATTTTGAATAAACCTGAGACAATTTTTATTTTCTGTTCCATTTTGCTCAAGAAATATGTGTACAAGGGAAGATATATCTCATATTCCTTACAAAGGTAATCAGTGGGTTTGACAGGTAGCAAGCTTGGATGTGGTGAAGGTGGCTGTGGAGCATGTACTGTTATGATCTCTAAGTATGATCATGGAAATAACAAGATTAAGTATCCTTTTGAAACTCGAAGTCTGCAGAAAACTGGAAGAGGTTGAATGGTTATGATGATGCAACCAGGGGGAGCTTCATGGGGTTTCAGATCCCCCTTCTATTTTATTTGCTTACTTCTTGTCTGAAACTAAAACTCTAGTAACAACCAAATGTCATGTTCACTTAATATTCAACAAGAATTGTTTGAAATTTAATTGTCTTAAATATTTGTTTACTTTTTTTGAGGCCTTTTTATAAGAGAAGAAGAATCCTTATTTTCTGAGTCAAAGCTCAACCCCCCTCCCATCTTTATAAAAATTCCTGAATCAAGAGGTTTGGCTGTATACAGGAGAAGGTTGTTAAAATCTGAAGCATCTATGGCCTATGTTACAGATTTCAAGTAGAGTTAACTTTGTGTCCTCTGACCTTGACATTAACTAGACATTTCTCTGCAAATGGCTGTTTGATGCCATTGTGTGCTGTTGATGGAATGGCTGTAACCACAGTGGAAGGAATTGGAAGCACCAAAACTGTCTTGCATCCAGTGCAGGTAACATACAACTTTTCTCTATGATATCCATGCATTATCCAGCAAACAGCTAAATGATGAAAATAGTCAAACTCATTAGATAAAAGTTGTTATTTTGATTTAACACCAAGGAAGTGTATAGCAGCTGGAGGGGAGAGTTAACAATCAGAGTTTGGGAGTTAAAGCATTAAAAACATGTATATCACATGTGCACTGATGGAAACATTATGGACAGATATATAGGATCAAATAGAATGTTAAATTATAGCAATTTTTAAAGTCCTAACTATAACTGGAGTGCAAAGTTATTTGAACATGTAGAAAGTCAATAACTCAGGGTGAGGTGATGAAATAATCCAGTTAAGTGGCAGATCAGAGGAGGATCTCAAGTCTTCTTAGATATTTCTGCTCCCTTAGCCACAGAATTATGCATTGTGGGTAACAGCAGTTTGTTTGAGGCAGCTCTGTTAAGAGTTGGGAAATAAGAGAAGGAACTAAAACTGAAATGATGCAATGCCTAAATATTAATTAAAGTGATTTTGTGGGGTGAATTGAGTTACTCAGTGACAAGTTTCATGGATCTTCAGATAATTGTAATTATTATTAAGAGGAGTTGTTAAGAACTTTGGTCATTAACTAAGAACAAGTAGCCCTGTTTCTTTAGCAACAAGAATGCAACCTTTAAATATGGCAATTTTGTGTACCCTCTCTGAGTGTCTATTGCATGAAAAACAATTTTAGAGGGGGTTTGAAAATTTTCATTTTTAAAGTTATTTAAATGATCCTTTTAGAAACTAGTTCTTAAAAGTGCTAAACAGGTTGGTTTATTAATATTTATTCTGGTTCTAAGGAGCGGATTGCCAAGTGTCATGGGTCACAGTGTGGATTTTGTACTCCAGGGATTGTGATGTCAATGTATGCACTTTTGAGAAACAACCCTCTACCAACTAATAAAGAGATGGAAAGCGCTTTTGAAGGTACAGAGGGAAGTAGCAGGAAATCAAACTTATTTCCTTTTTATCACATAAATGCCAATTTTGTCAAGTGCATTTGGTTTGAAACCCTGGTGAAACACTGGAATGACACGCTATCCATGAGTTTCATATGGTATCAAAGCCTTGCTTGTGATAAAGCATCAAACTTTAGTAAACTCATTTCTTAATTTGAATGACAGCATGTGATTAATTGACAACATGTGAAAAATTGGAATATTTCCATTTTCTTTTTATTCCTGAGGCATGACTGAGAAGCTATTTCTAAGGCTTGTGCATTGGGTTTCATCAGGGTTTCCAAACAGTCCAACACAATAAAAGCACGTGGCCTGTGCAGCCTCGTGCTCTCATCAGTTTTCTTGTGTTTGGATACCCAGATGAAACCCTCACACTCGTTTTTGAAATTGTACATTAAAGTTGCCTTTGCATTGGTCCTCTTGTGTTCAGTTGACCAGAGTTGTGAAGTCTCACATAACTCCCTCTTGCCCATGGAAGGTTGTGTACAAGGCAGATAATCAGTGTCTGAAATTCTTTTTTTAAACCAGAAGAAAAATAGAGAAAAGTATTAATTGGTTTCTTTTCATAATGAAGATAGAGATGAGAATCATGTTTTTCCTCTAATTTTTCTTTGAAACACATCAATCTAAAATGTGTTATCTTCAAAGTGTCATGAACATGAGTAGGTCAGTAACAAATATATCTTCAATTTTTTTGGCAGAGGTTTTACAGATACCTTTTCTTGAGCATATTGACTTCTCATTTGAACCATGTACATCTTATCATAAAGTCACTTTAGACGTCACATCTATACCTCTGTCAATTTCCCACCAGGTAATTTATGTCGCTGTACTGGATATCGTCCAATTTTGGAAGGACTCAAAACCTTCACAAAGGTAGTGTTCCACTTGTAACTTACAGCACTGGACCTAGCAAGCTTCAGTTTAGCTCTTTTCTTTTAAATTCAGTGCAGTATGAAAATTTTAGCATCATTTCAATCTTCTTTTTACTTACATGTTTATTAATTCCAATCTTTGTGAAAGGAATGTTGCGGTAAAGGTGTTAATGGTTGCTGCTCTGAAATGGACCAAAATGGAACCACTAATGGCATATCGCAGAATGGAGTTTTAAATGTGAGTTGAGAAAATGATTGTTTTCCAATTTTCTTACAAATTTTTCAAACTTTATTTGCTGCTTAGTCTTAACCCTCTGACTCTCATGGGTGATCATGACCAAGACATAATTTTTCTTTACAATATCAAATGAATACATTATCAAGCAGACAAGTGATGAGAATAAAGAAATGTATGAATTAGGGAATAAGTACTGTAGTTGATCCAATACCAAATTCTCTGAACTAGCATCATAAGCATGACAGACAATAATGAGAATTACTTATGAGATCTCGGGTTTGAAAGGGTTAAAGGATTGACTATTATCACTGTGATAGTAGAACCTTACCTTAGATTTGTTGTCAAAAAGAAAATAAAAATAAATAAGTTGCTTTATTTCTATGCTTACAGGGCTGCAATGAGTTGTTCAAGTCAACAGAATTTACACCATATGACCCAACTCAGGACGTTATCTTCCCACCTGAACTAATGGTGAGTTTGTTCACTCTCAGCTTAAATGTTAGAGAGGTTGTTGGAAGTATACAGATTGATTTAATAAAAGTAGAACTGGTGGAATTGGAAGCAGAATACTATCATGTTACCCTGTTGCTCATTATAATCTAATTTGAACTACATTGCTGGAGTTGTAATAAGCAGGAGTTCCACTTCTGCTTGTAACATCAGTAAAATAGTTTTCACATGTCATCATACATGGGAAAAATGGGAATGTTGTCACTACCCCAATTTCACCTAAGATTATAACATGGCCATGATCCCAGTTTTGGATTACAGAGTATTAATAGCTCTCAAGCAATCTAAGATTCTAAGTAGACTCAAATGTGGCCCCCCTGTCCACCAGTAAAAATTAAACTTAATGGTCAAAGTGACTCTTAATGAATTATCTGATAGGAAACTCTCTTTCTCTCTTGGATTTTCAAGAGAATTTTGGGTTAAATTGGAATGATATTCTTACTAATTTTTGGTTTTGCTAATTTTCATAGTTACCAGTTTGTTCAGGGGAATGCTGAAATGTTTGGAGAATTTAGTACAGATACAGATCTCCAACAGGGTGATAATTTAGCACACTCAAAAGTGTAGTAGAATATTTTCAATTCATTAATTTTTCTCCAAAGCTCCCAGAAGCTGCCAAACCAAGAACTCTATATATCAAAGGAGATAATTCAACTTGGATCAGACCAACAACACTGGAAGAGTTGTTGGAGCTTAAAACAAAATATCCACAAGCTAAACTTGTGATTGGTAACACTGAAATAGGTGAGAGATGTCAGAACTAAATTGTGATACAGTATAGACATTATTAAAATTCTATTGAGGAGCTATTAATGATAATAAATCAATTCACACCTCCCCTGATATCCTTAAATGGGATGGTGGTGTAGCCAAGGCTACCCCCTGACCCCCTCCCTACCTCATGGACACCTTCTCAAGTTTCTTCACAGTTTTGCAGTACTCGTAATCCTTTTAAACCTGTGGGAGAGAGGCTGTGTGAGATCCAAGTGCCTTGTCTGGCAGCATGCCACAATGACACCAGCCAGGGTTTGACTCCCTAATTCACTGTTCCGTGTCCAGCTTAGTGAAAGTTGGCCTCTGGGTCCAATTCTCTCATCAAGAGGTCTTATTGCAGTTTTGTCTTTTCACCAAATACTCAGCCTTTCAATTATTTATATTGCTAACTGAACAAGGTCCATAAAAAACCTCAGTGACCTCAGACAGACAGCTAAATTCCCCTTCCAAACTTTTATTACCTTAATTAATCATGATTTTTAAAATTAACATCATTTCATTGACAGGAATCGAGATGAAATTCAAAAATCAGAGTTATCCAATCCTGATAGCTCCTACTCACATCTATGAGCTGAATGCCATAGAACACACTGCAGAAGGCATCAGGTTTGGTGCATCTGTGACACTGACTACTCTGGAAGAGGTTCTTAGTGAGGCTTGCCAATCCATGCCAGGTAGTGGTCTTTAATTAAACAGATTTCTTTGAATGGTGAACTTAACTTAAATAAATAGTTAACTTTGGGAAAATCACTGTCCAGTTGTTCTGTATATCTTGTCATTCTAGTTAAGCTGTCAATTTTGGTTGTAATTAGAGCTATTGAGTTTGGCAAGTCGAGACTTGGAATAGAGAATGAATTTGGAAGTAGGAGCTTTAAAGGGCTAATTAAGATCATTACGACTGACTGAACTGAATGATAATTGTTGTATTGTTCAGCACTGGGAGTTTGGTCATTGTGCATAACTGTTGTGTTACATTATTCTACTTCTACAGAATTCAAGACCAGATGGTTCACAGCAATACTTCACATGCTCAAGTGGTTTGCTGGTCATCAGATTAGAAATGTTGGGGTAAGTAAACCATACCTTTTCTTTCTTTTATAACGAAAGAATATTCTTAGTTTATGTCAGTTAAAATTATTCAATTATAGTTCTTTTGCCATTTCATTGTTCAAATAAAATTGGATTCATTGAAGTTATGGGCCACATTCTGTGTGATAATTTTAGGAGACTTGTCTCACAGATATGAACATGATTTGTTCCTTCCAGGCTATTGGAGGAAACATTATGACAGCCAGTCCGATATCAGATCTAAATCCAGTGTTAATGGCTGCAAGATGCCCTCTTACATTAGCTGCTGCTGGAGGTATACCTGCTGTTTGGAAATTGTTAATGTTGGCCCAACAATGCTGGAGCTTAATGGGATGTCAGTTTCTGTCATATGAAGAAACTAGGGGTTTTGCCTCTCCCCCCCTAGATGGAATGCCAATCCTTTGCAGAGTTCCTCAGGGGGCATAGTTAGGGGAGGTCTTAAGGTGTCCACAACCCCCTCTTTCTCCCTTCCCCCCCCCCCCCCACACTGCATTCATTTAAACCTTGTAAGCTGCTATTTTTTATCTTGATATCAAGCTATCTTGGAAGCATGAATCTTATTTCTGGTTTCTTGCATCACAGGAAAAAGAAGAAAAGTGAAACTGGATGAGAATTTCTTTACTGGTTACAGAAGAACAATTTTGCAAGCAAATGAAATATTGGTTGATATTTTTATTCCATTCACAGAAAAGGTGCAACTTGTATTTCTTTGTTAGTGCATCTGTTTCTAATAGTATGATTTTTATTCTATATTTGTCTTTTCATTTTGTAAATAAATATTACTGTTTTCAGCACGAATATGTGTTTGCATTTAAACAAGCTCGACGGCGTGAAGATGACATCGCTATAGTCAATACAGGCATGAGAGTGTTGTTTGATAAAGAAACACAATCCAGCTCATGGCAAATCCAGGATTGCAGTTTCAGCTTTGGAGGCTTGGCCCCCACAACAGTCATGGCAATGAAAACTGTTAAAGGGCTCACTGGAAGGTATTTTGAGACAATTTGGTGACTGCTTACTGTGGCTGAGAGACCAAGACAGAATTTCTCCTTACGCTATCCAAACAATATCAAGCAGACAAGTGATGAGAATAAAGAAAAATATTAGTTAGGGGATTATTAGTTGATCCAATACCAAATTCTCTGAAGTAACATCATAAGAATTGTGCCACAGGCAGTAAGGAGAATTGCTAATGAGATCTTGGAAGTGAAAGGGTTAAGGCTTGTCACTGTATACCTTTGCTTAAGAAACAAGTGAAGCTATCTTGCAGGCTAATTTCAGGGTTGTTAAGGGTTTTTCCTGATATTTTAAACTTGTGAATAGACATGGAATTCTCCATTTTAATAAACTATTTGGGTTAAGTTTTGATGACCAAGGAACACTTAAGTATTCTTTAACTTGTGGGATCTTCTCCCCTTATGCACTATTTGTTCTGTATGTGCGCTAGTTCATTGCCAGTACCGGACAGCGGTACGCTAGTTATAGGCATGCGTGGCCGTGCGTTTACTTCTGTTCTTCTCGTGTCTGTAAGCCCGCTCGTTCTGTTATCATCTTACCAGTTTCGTTAAAGCCTCAGTTGTGTTACAGATCTTATCATCGATTTACCTCTACTTCATTAACTGGCGCATAGATTACGAGCAGTAAAAAAATATGAAAAAATAAAAAAATTGATGTTAGCGGGCTGCATGGAACCCTGGGCGTGAGGCGCACGAAAAGAAAGGTTTACTAGAGAGGTTTGGTTTGCTGCACCTCACACTCAGAGTTCTGCGTGGCGCGTTAGCACCAATCTGTTTTTTTTTTTTTTTCACTGATTTTTTTTAACTCGCGCCACGCACTTCGCCAAAAAGGAATGACTGTTAGTAGTGTACTCTCTTTATCACTTGTAGTCTGATATGAACTTGACTTTTCACTGAGTATTATAATGATGAGCGAGGGAGGGTAGCCTTAAGACCGATTATGGTAATCAAGTTTGTACTCTCTCTTGTAGAACTTGGAATGAGAGCATAGTACAGGAAGCTTGTCAGCTGTTGGCTGAAGATCTGCCGCTTGCACCCGGAGCACCTGGCGGTCAGGTGGAGTACAGGAGATCGCTCGCCTCAAGCTTCTTCTTCAAGTTCTACTTAAACGTTACCTTGCAGCTGAGTAATCAAGAGGTATACTTTGTGCACCTTTACGAGTGTTTTTCGGAAATAAAATTTTACTTTATTTAGTGTTGCTATATTTATTTGATTAAGCACCCAGACTCAAATGAATAAAATAGTGTTTGTTCGTTTTATAGGTAGCATATAAGGCTGATATACCCAAGTCGTTTATAAGCGGAACTGGTCATTTTCAAAGAGATACAACATACAGTACCCAGACATTTCAGGTAAGTGTTTATCTTTGAAGAAAACCATTTAATAGGGTGGGGGTGGGGTTACAAATATTATCTTGACGTCCACGCATCTGTAATTGTCATTACTTCAGGAAGTCCCCAGTGATCAGTTAATCGAAGATGTTGTTGGTAGGCCTGTGCCTCACTTAGCAGCTGCCAAACAAACCACAGGAGAGGCAGTCTATTGCGATGACATTCCTAAATATGCAGGTAATGTATTTAACCCTTTAACTCCCGAAAGTGATTGACATGCAACTTCTCCCAATAACATCCATGCATTATCCAGCAAACAGGTAATGAGAACACTCAAACTTATCAGGAAGAAGTTTTTATCTTGATCTAACACCAAACTCTCTTAACTAAATGAAAAGGAAGTATGTAGCAGCTAGATGGGGAGAATTAACTATTAGATCTTGGGAGTTAAAGGATTACATAGGTTATAGAAAAATGTTGTTATTCAGCGTGGTTCGATAGATAGCTGAACGTTTAATCGTTTGTCTCACAATGAAAGAGTCAGGCTCTTCAATCGTGTATCGATTGCACGATTATATTGGTCAGCCTGACTCTTACATCGTGAGAAAAAAGGATTAATCGTTCATTTAAGGATTGCGTAGTTATTTTACTTTGATAAAGATGAATTTACTGAAGGTACCGTGAGAAAAAAAAACAACATTTCTAATCCAAAGAATTAATGTCTCAAACTTCAAGTTAAGGTTGATTTAAAGCTAAATTGCCGTATTTTTCCCTTTCAAGGAGAACTTTACTTGGGTGTCGTCTTCAGCAAGCGTGCACATGCGAAAATCCTGTAAGAAAATTGTTTGTTTTCTTTTAAATAAAGCTTTGATACTGTCTGGAAAAAAGGGACTTGAGCTAAGCGGCCCATCCAGTAATGTGCTTCTCCAGGTTCCTTTAGCGTGCAGTGACTAGGAGTATCACTAATTCCTTTCCCCCCCCCCCCATGGATGCGATGCAAGTCCATTATAACGTTACCCTCCTAGCATTTCATTAGGCTTCCTTGGCTTCGAGTCGAAACTACGGCAGTTTCAGGAGAGAGAACTTTACTAACAAGCAAGACCAGTTTCTCTCGTACAAGAGAAAAAGAATCGCACTTTATTCGCGTCACGCGCTCGTTTTAAACCGAACAATTAGGTCGTGCCAAACTCTCCACCCAAAACTTAAAAAAAAAAAGCTCTTTAGCAATAAGTTTCTAAAGAAACTGTGGTGCTGCCTGCTTTCTATTACGGGGCGGAGACGCGTGGACCTTATGGTCAGTGCGATGGGGTCTGGGTCGAGAGGTCTGGGTTCCAGACCTGGCCATGTTATTGGATTGTGTTCAAGGGTAAAACACTCTGCTCTCACAGTATGTCTCTCAACTGTAAGGAAAAGGAACATGTTTATTGCTTCCCAGAGCTTTATTTAAAATAATAAAGGGGGCACTCTGATACATAAGATATTAACTTTGTAGTTTTTGGATATTTTCAGGGGTGTTGATCCAAGTGAAGCACTTCGTCAACCAGGGGTTAAAAGATATGTTGGTGTGGATGATGTACCAGGTCGCAACGCGACAGGGCCTGTAATCTTTGACGAGGAGATCTTCGCCTCAGAAAAGGTACCTTTTTTTCTTTATCTTTTTGATGTGTGATGTGATTTGTATTTTGCAACAACTCGCAAATTATACGTGAACTGCAAACACGCGAGTTGCAAGTGAGTTACAAAGCTGGAAATGCTTTATCGAAGTTCCGTGTCGCGCGGCTGTCAGTTATGTCGTACACCTCACGGTAAAAATGTGGAGTGTTGGAGGGTTTAACCCTTTACACCTTAACATCAGTATACATATTCTCCACACTTTCCTCTTAGCATTTCTCATATTATTAACAAGGAGAATTTGTCAAACAATCACAGCTTCTCAAGTTGGCGATCATTTCCTTTACTCTCGTGACTTGAATGTTTGATTCAGGGATGATACTGTAAGGAGAAACTAGATGTTAGTCACACTGTGGGATTGGAGGGTTATAAGGTCATTTTTTGAGTTGTTGTTGAACGATTTCGATCTATTTTGTTTTGTTTCACAATCGTGAGCCAGTTTGATTTCTAAACCTTTAGATTTCGCGTGTCATTGACAGGCGCCGTGGAAGGTTACTTTAATCTTGAAGCCATTGTGCTTTATTTGAAAAGAGTATTAGCTCGCAGGTGAATTGAAAAATGCCGTTGACGTTAAACTGGTAGATTAAGTGGAATGCAACGTGACCATTCCCGTCTTATTTTCTTCTCCAAATCATGGTATTTGATACAAAGCTCAATCGTAGAGCTGTGGAATCCTGCTTTTGTTTCATTTGACCCTTAATTAAGGCAGAAACAACACAAGATTTCTAACTTAAAAAGTTTGCACTAGACTGCACTAACCCCTTCCCTCTGCATAAATTTATCCTTTTTTTCTACTATAGGTGACATGTGTGGGTCAGGTAATAGGTGGCATTGTCGCTGAAACTCAGGCCCAGGCCCAAAAAGCAGCCCAGCTGGTGAAGGTCACCTATGAAGACCTGCCCAGAATAATAACCATTGAGGTAAAATGTTCACTTTTACATGGTTTTTACATTTCTGATGCAAAGGGAGGCGGCTTTTTTTTTTTTTTTTTTTTTTTTTTTTGCGAACGCGAGGAATATGCTAAAGGCGAGTCACGCGTGAGAGGAGGGGATATTTCGCGCCGCTCCCCTCGTTCGTGTCTCCCTGTATGCGCTCGCCTCATGCCTTCCTCGCGCTTGTCTGGCGTTCTCCGCGCCTCCGTTGGCCTGGAAACGCAGAAGAAAATGCAACCTTTCCTGCAGGCTGATTGAAGAGTTTCCATCGTTTCCAGACTCACAGTTCACTTTTAGTGAAGAGCTACCAACTTAAGCATCTGTTCTATTTGTGGACAGGAAGCTATAGCTGCAGAGTCATATTTGAACCCTGAACCGATGTGCATTCAGAAAGGAGACCTAGAAGCAGGATTTGCTGAATCAGATCATGTGTTAGAAGGGGAGATGAGAGTGGGAGGACAGGTTAGAATCAAATGATTGTAAAAGATAAAATTTTAAAGACGTTTGTGTACAAGAAGAGGGCAGAATGTTGAAACTGCAGTCTCTCAAGGTAAGTCATCTTTGTATAGCCAACTTTCTTTCTCTTTCAAGGATTAGAACTAATTCTCTGGCCGAAATTTTGGCGACTCTGTGCGGACAAAACCGATGAAACACTATCCAGTTGAAAAGGTTATCATTCATTTCCCCTTTGTACAAAAACTAATTACTTTCTCTTTGTTTCAGGAACACTTCTATCTGGAAACACAAGCAACAATCGCTGTTCCAAGGGGAGAAGATGGCGAGATGGAACTTTTTGTTTCTACACAAAATCCAACATTGACACAGGTAGGAGAGCGTTTTTTGTTGCTGTTGTTTCCTTACTACGCGCTTTTAGTTGTCGGTAGATGTGTTTGAACGTAAGGTTGTAAACGCGGTTGGTGTTTGAACGTGAGGTTATAAACGCGGTTGGTGTCTGAATGAGAGTTTTTAAACGTGGTTGTCACGTTTTAGATTCACTTGCTTTTTTTAAGAAAGTTATTTCAGTAAAAGAAGGTGAAAGAATTCTCGAAAGTTATACAAACCCTCAACTGCTTATCTGGTTTGCTAAATTGTATCAAATTCTCCAACCTCCTTCTACCTGATTACTTACGTCATAAATTGCAAGTTCTCGATCACTTCACTTTAGTCTTGAATTACTTCAATCTTCTCTGCTGACAGTGGTGGGTCAATATTCTACACAGCGGACATAAATGTGTTCTTTAGGGTCGGATAAGAGTGGTAATCTCCATCCACTATTGTCGAAGTTCAATTGCAAGTTATCATTCTTTTTTTTGAAAATCCACAGAAACTTGTTGCCAGCGCATTGGGCGTACCTGCCAACAGAATAGTCGTGCGGACCAAGAGAATGGGTAAAGGAGACGTAAAAATTGCTTCAATGCCATTGGCTACGTCAAGACGTCACACTCCTTAAATGGAAAATTGATAGGACTTAGACTACGAGCAATTCTTGCTTTACGATGAAGTCTGTCTCGCGAGTAGAAAAAGAATTGGTGAAAAAAAAATTGATGCTAATGCACCTAGTGGAACTCTGGGAGTGAGGTGCCCCACTCTCAAAATGCTATGCGGAGCGCTAACATCAATTTTGGTTTTTTTTTTCGTTTATTTTTTGGATCAATATCAGTATCTGGGCAACTGCCCACCTACCCCTACCCCTCCCCTAACCCAATTGTTGGGTTAGGGGATGGGATAGGTGGGGCAGTTGCCTAGATACTGATATTGATCCGATTTTTTTTACTCGCGCTACGGACTTCGCAGAAAAGGAGGGACTGCTCGTAGTCGAATAGGACTTAATTATTTTTTTGCTCTGATAAATCAGGTGGTGGATTTGGTGGTAAAGAGACACGTAACTGCTTTCTGAGCAATGTTGTGGCTGTGGCGGCAGCTAAGTAAGTTATTTTACCTTCTTTTAAGTTTTTTTCTATTTCATTATTCATTTATTAGTTATGTATATTATGTCTTTGAGTTGTAAGTGGCAGTCTTCAAATCTTGAAAGGGAAGTAGAAAATATTTCCCTGTTTGTAGCATGTGTGGTTTGGTACAGCCTGTAATTATCTTAAGACGGAGACATCAAAAATGTCTAACTCATTACAACGAATATACGAGTTTTTCTGTGTCATTTGTGTTTCAGGGTTGGTAAACCTGTGCGCTGCATGCTTGACCGAGATGAAGACATGAAGAGTACTGGCACTAGGCACCCGTTCTTAGCCAAATACAAGGTACAATACATATTCTACGATGACGCATACTGATCCATACTGATCCAATCAGTATGAATCAGTATGCAGGCTGATTTGCCAAAAATCCTAACTGGGATTATTGAGGTGATCTGCGTTGTCTACGGGCTTTTGTTATATTTAACTCGTGTTTATCTTATTCATCTTCTTAGGAGGTTGTCCGTTTTCCGTTTATTCTCGCCTCTGGCGGTTTTCTACTTCGAAAGAGTTTTTTTCCATGTGTTATTCCAATTATGACAACTTTTAACGATCCCATTCCTTTTCAAAGTGATGAAAAATGACACATATTTCCTCTTCACTCCTTATTTTTCTTTAGGTCGGCTTCACAGCAAATGGGAAAATCAAAGCTCTTGATGTCAAAATGTACAGTAACGCTGGAAATTCTTTGGATCTGTCAAAATCTGTGAGTTGTTATCTAGAACCCTTAAAAATCTCATTCGCTCAGCTTCCGTCCTTGAATTCTTCCCTTATAAGCGCATGATTGTTTTCCGCAGGTTATGGAGCGCGCGATTTTCCACATGGAAAATTGTTACCTTATTCCAAATATTCGGGGACATGGGTATTTGTGCAAGACGAACATTCCTTCCAACACTGCATTCAGAGGATTCGGCGGGCCGCAGGTTTGAAATACTTTTGTTCTATTGGTTGATTTTGTGCGATTGACAACAGAGTAACTGAGATGGTATTCTTTGCCAGTCAGGAGTTTTCTTTTCGCGTGAAGGCTACGAGTGAATTTGAATAAAAAGTTCTAGTTTGATTTTAAAAACTAGCTTGAAGGTCATACATCTTGTTGAATCTCTCAGTTACTACGTGCGATATGACTGGTCAATTTAATGGGCCGAAATCAAATTATAACTTGATTTTTAAAGATACCAAACTTACAACCTAATCAATGTATGATTACCCTTTTTTTTTAGGGTATGATGTTTGCTGAATCGTGGATAAGTGACATCGCAATTACTTGTGGTATTTCACAAAGACGGGTGAGTGAGCGAAAAACGTTAGGCGGTTAATTGGGACAAACTTCTGTCACCGCAACATGTATTTAATTTTCCTGCAGCCAAGAGGCTGGTACCTGCACCTGGTTTCCGAAGGATTTAGAGATGAGGCAGGGGCTTAGCTGGGATTTTTTCCGGGGGGGGGGGGGAGGGGGGAGCGGAGGTAATCAAACGCATCACACCCAGGGTCTATTTGACTATCATGTCGACATCCACGCCGTGTTGTCCTATTAAACAGTGAAATTTTAGCGGATGAGCTCTGAATATCTCGTTAATTACAGAGATTCGCACTCTTCTACCAATTGAATTGTAAGGCTTGTATGTTGTTGACTTAAAAAAATATAATAATCTCAGTTAAAAAAGGGACGAGGGCTAGCTAGTACTCCCGGACCCCTCCTCCTTTGTCGCTCTACACCTCAAGGATGGATTGACAGCTCACAGGAAAACCTCGATTTGCAGACTATTAGACTTCGGGCTCACTAGTTGTGAATAAAGAAAGAAGGGAAGTGGGGTGGTCAAATGAGCTGAATTTTTCTTCGTGTACTATCGTATTCTCTGCTTCTACAAACCATCCCCAGTGCAATGTTTTGCAAAGTTTGAAATTTTCCCATGCTATTTGCTCCAGGTATCAAATTGTCAGTTTTTTTTTCTCATTTCTCTTTTAATTTTTCTTTACGTCGACTGCGAACAGGTCAGAGAGTTGAACTTCTATCAGGAAGGTGATGTAACTCACTTCAACCAAGAACTGGCCAGTTGTCATATCCAACGCGTGTGGGACGAGTTAGTTGAGAGGTGTCTCTACGAAGAGAGAAGAGAGCACATTGAGGCCTTCAACAGGTTGGGTGCATCCTTATTTCCTTTTATTCGTCCCTACAACTCCTAGAGGTGTTCAACGTGTAAATTCTCTTTACAAAAACAATACATTACTTAGCAAACAAGTGATGAGAATAGACTAAGATATCCGCCAGCGGGAATTGTCTTGGTTTATTACCAAATTCTCATAACTAACTTACAAGGAAATGTTAGCAGCTTTAAGGGAGGGTTTTGAATCAGATCTTCAGGGTTCAAGGAATTGTTCAGATTTAACGATAACGAAGGTAGTAGAACTGCAAGCATTTTTTAAGATCTGTTTTCTTGAAAAGGTGTGAGAGTTTTAAGTGGTGTAAACATGGGACGACACTCGAATCCTTGATAGAGGAGAGACTAAAACTTGAAGTTAAAATCAAATGGAAAGAATGACACAATGCATGCAAGCTGGTTGATGAAAATATTCGTATTTGTTGCAATTTCGAGATTTTATATCGTAAAAAACGATAATTCACTGTAGCCGTTTGCCATACCAGTAAACGTTACATTTTGACTCTCATTTAATATCACCCACACTGACTATATAACCTGGCTTTTTATGATACCGAATTGTCATGCTTTCCTTAATGTCTTTCCTCCCAAGGGAAAACCGGTGGCGAAAACGAGGCCTTGCACTGACGCCTACCAAGTTTGGCATTAGTTTCACAGCTACTTTTATGAATCAGGTACGAAAACAAACCCCTTGCTTTTCATATTGCTGTAGTCGCGCTGGATAGAACTGAACCCCGCTTTCCAGTTGTTATATTTGTTTGAACGGTGAAACGACGTTATTCTTAAGTTTCTTCATTGCTTGATTAAAACCTTGAAACACGTGGGATAGCCTAACACGCACGGGCGTTGGCCTTTCGCCCTCCCCAGCTCTGTCTCGGTAGACCTGATCAATCGGAAGCGCTTCTAGTTACATGAGCGTTAATACGAACTGCGCGAACCCAACTGATCTGTTTTTTGTCTTTTTTGGTCTTATTTTCAAGGCTGGAGCTCTGGTGCATGTTTACACAGACGGATCAGTTCTTTTAACTCATGGCGGAACAGAAATGGGCCAAGGACTGCACACAAAAATGATACAGGTAGATGTCAAAAATGTTTCTGAGAGATCACCTAATGGAGAAAGAAATGCGTAAATAAGATTAAGGAAAGCTCAACTTTCTAATTAAGTTTCATTTTTGCAGATAGCCGCTCGTATCTTTGGTATCCCTGTGTGTAAAATCCACATTTCAGAGACAAGCACGAACACGGTTGCAAACACGTCTCCAACAGCAGCATCGGCCTCCTCTGATCTCAATGGCATGGCGGTGAAGGTAAAACACTTTTTCAAGACGGGAAAGGCCCTGTAGCGAACGCACCGATATATTTTCAAATTCTTATTACTTAACCAATGGTTTCTGAAATACATGAAGAAATCTTTTAAATAACAGTAATTTACAACGATATCAAACAAGGTAAATGAAAATCAAACGGAAAAAGGACAGCAAGAATATACCTGACGGTTAGAGTACTTTTACGAAACGACATAGAAACATTCAATGAAAAATTCTGACTGATAATTTATTGGCGCGAAAACTATTTCATTATAGTAGCACCACACAGAAATGGGAGGCTAACAAACCGCTAAAAAACGTTACAACTGGCCCTATCTTTTGAATTCTGTAATATGATAACCTAGATAGCTCGTTACACTGATTGTTGGGGGGGAGTTGCTCCTGGATTTTTTCACTTGATAACTTGAGTGTCAATTTGGTGACCGCGTTGACTAGTGCGCCTCTACACGTGGTGACTAATTTACTGACGTATTATGTTTAGTTATTGATAAGATGTATGTTTTGGGATTCGGCAGATTGCTTGCGAGCAAGTTATGGAGAGGTTAAAGCCATATAAAATGGAAAATCCAAAAGGAGAGTGGGAAGAATGGGTAAGTATTTTACTTGTTAACTTGTTCAATCTATCGGTAAGGCGGTAATTAAGCTAGTGTATTAGTTAGCTTGTTAGCCAGGTTGGTCAGTCGGTAAATCATTCAGTCCATCCGTGCGTCAGACAGGATAATTTGATTTATTCGACTGAGCTGATAATGTAAATTGGCCACCGTAAGGAGTTTTTTCAAGTTACCTTTTGAGCGTCAATCAGTTGGTCTCCCTCCTTGTCTGTTTGTCTGTCTATCAATCAGCAGTCAATTTGTCAGTCAGTCCGCTTGTGGTCTGCTAGTCAGTTTTGCATGTCTTTACGGTTTGTCTGTTAATCAGTCATTATCTGCATGTTTTTCGTTAATTTAGTAATCAGTGAATTAGTTACGTAATTAGTCAGTCTGTCTGAATGACAATCCGGTCATCAGTTAGGCAGTCAGTCAATTGTGTCTAAAACTGGACTCCAGTGTCTAAAATCGTACATTAGTGTCAAAAATCGGACATTTACGTCTGAAATCGGACGCTAGTGTCTTAAAATCGGACAATTATGTCTGAAATCGGATATAAGTGTCTAAAATCGGACCTTTATGTCTAAAATCGACACTCTTGTCTAAATCGGACACTAGGGTCTAAAATCAGACCTTAGTGTCCAAAATGGGATTTTAGACACAGATATAGCTTCTTGCTTATTTCCAGGTTCGCTCCGCCTACTTTGACCGCGTCAATCTTTCAGCGAATGGATTTTACAAGTAAGAACCACTTTTCACAATTTGAAATCTAATGCAGTTTTCCATGACTACGCACTTTTAAGTACGTGTGTAAACTCTTTTACTAGAAACTGACCGATTTTGCTCTCTCTGAAATTCAAGTGGAAAGGCCATCAGCAAGATACCAGTGGATTTTAAGGGGTAGTGGGTGATCCCCTGGCTTCCCCTCTCTTGTAAATAGCAATTCTTCTTCCATAAATCTTTTGAAAATCGGAACTCAATTAAATAATTGCATAGATTTTTTTCTTTTTTTTCTTAAAACCTTCAACCCCTAAGAATGACTAGTATTTCACTTCTCTTAACCATATTAACGCATAATGAAGCACGTTTTTTTAACTGTCTCTGCGCATGTGCCGCACGCACACCGCAGGTTAATAGGATTGCGGTCTAAACTACTAGTCACCAGATTCCACAACCATATTAACGCATAATGAACCATAAAGGTCATAAGAATGAAGAAAGTGATCACCAACCAACGAAGCTCTTGATTGTTAAACAAATTCTCCTTGTCCCAATCTTAGAAAATGTCCAGACTACGTTTTGGAGAAAATGTATTCTGATGTCAAGGTGTAAATGGTTCATCAGTGAAAATCCAAGTAGAATTGCCAGTTCTAATTTTCCGGAAGTGATTTCTTGTTATTTTTGCCTCTCAGAACACCGGACTTGGGGTATGATTGGAAGACCAATACTGGCAGAGTCTTCAATTATTTCTGCTTTGGTGCGGCTTGCTCAGAGGTGGAAATTGACTGCCTCACAGGAGATCATCAGGTTCGTTAATAGGCACACATCTCTAAGATTTTCTCTTTCATTTACTTTGAAACCGTTACACGCACGACCCATGGAAAGAAAAAGAATCCTGGAAAACGTATAGCAACGATTTCGTGACCTAGCTCTCAAAACAAAGTGGTGGCTTCTTTCGTCACGACAGTATGACACTCGGGTTTAAACGAATTGCCGAAACGTAACTGACCAGAAAAACCTACATGTGATGTGTAGAGAAACTGCTCACCAATAGAAATGAGGCAGAAAAGACATATGCTGTTTGTCAAAGAGGTTACTAACTCTCACAAACCTTGAGAACAAATATTTCGTTCCTCGAGGTGCCGCAGAGCACATATCACTCAGATTCGAACTTGGCCGAACGGAAATAAATTCCAAACTCATTTTGCGTCAAGAGTTGTAATTTTTGGAACAGCTAACACTTTCTCTGTAGAACTAGTGTCTACATTGCATGAAATTAATCATTGTATAGCGCAGGAATTTATAAACTCCATAACTTTTATTGTTTCCCTGTTCATCAGGTTCTTCGCACAGATATTGTGATGGATGTCGGTATCAGTCTCAACCCGGCCATTGACATTGGCCAGGTTAGTAAATTGTTTTATTTTCCGATGTAATCATTGGCTATGGACTAATTTCTACTCTTGTTACGAGCAAGATTCTGCAGAAACTTTTGCCGTGTGTTTCTCTTTTATATTCAGTTTGTGTTAATCTGCGCTTTTTCAGGTGGAGGGAGGTTTTGTTCAAGGAATGGGTATGTTTACCCTGGAAGAAGTGCGTTACTCTCAGACCGGCTCATTATGGACGCAAGGGCCTGGTGCCTACAAAATTCCTGGATTTTCAGACATACCAGTGGAGTTTTATGTTCACCTCCTACGGAGTGCCCCGAACGAAAAGGCGGTCTTTTCTTCCAAGGTTTGAAGAGTTTCTGTTCCTCGAAGGGATTAGATTGCCAGAAAAGTCTGTTATGCTTTGTTATTATGAACCTACCTCAAATTGAGAGTGATCTTTGGTTAAAATAAAAGTCGAGTTTTAATTTGACGTTTAAAAGTTTTTTTCCTTCTCATGACATTTTGATGTTTTGTTTATATAGGCTGTAGGAGAGCCACCTTTGTTCCTTGCCTCTTCTGTGTTTTACGCCATCAAAGATGCCATCATGTTTGCCAGGTAAAAAATGTCCTTACCTCTTATAGTTATCAACTGGACATTGCGTGGCTTATAGAAGTCTTGGGGCAATTGCTTTTTGATCGAACGCGGTCACAGGATCGAATTTTTTATCATTATTAGCTCAACAACGAATTGACGGACGCACCGACTGACTGAGCTCTGACGAAGGGCTAGCGCTCGAAATTTCAGCTTTGGAACTCTTAAAGTGGCTATTTTAAGTTATCAACTTGGTTGATGATACTAAATTACTTTTTGATCGAACGCGGACACAGGATCAAATTTTTTATCATTGCTAGCTCAACAACGAATTGACGGACGCACTTACTGACTGAGCTCTGACGAAGGGCTAGCGCTCGAAATTTCAGCTTTGGAACTCTTAAAGTAGCTAATTTAAGTTATCAACTTAGTTGATGATACTAAATTGCCCTGTCACACTCTCCGACTGACGCAGAACCACAGCTTTTTCAGAAACACCCCCTTTATTCATGACTGTTGGTCGGTCTGTCTGTCTGTCTGACTGACTGACTGACTGACTGACTCAAGGTCTGACTGTCTGACCAAATGACTCCTTCATCGACTTTCCAACAGGAAAAACGACTTCACAACTCAATTGTTGTTCGAAACACTTCTTACCTTATTGAAAATATCTTCTAAATTTTACAGGCGTGAATCAGGTGTTGAAGGAATCTTCAGACTGGACAGTCCCGCCACCAGTGAGCGCATCAGAATGGCTTGTGTTGACCAGTTTACTCAACAGGTGAGAAGTACCCCCTTGCTATCGCCCCAACTCATGCCAATGGCAAACACATGTTGCCCGAGTATCTGATCAGCGTGTCGGTAATGGCGATACTTCAGGTTGAGAGAGCGCACAGAATACTCCGAACACCTTTGTGAAAGTTTACTTTCTCATGAACTAAGCTTGCGTTTAAGATGTATGATGTATTGTGTAGTACACGCACGCTTGAAATCACATCGACAGTACGTTTCTAGTGAGAGGTATCTATGAACAAGGTATTAGAAGCTCTTGAGACACTTATGTTGTCAATAAATTCTACTCCTTTACGTTTGTTTTTTTTTTCCTCCATAGTTTACACCCCTTGCGGATCCAACCGTGAAAGACTTCAATGTTTATCCATGAGGACTTGAAGAGTGCTAATTAACAACATGTGGTCTACATAATTTCATTAATCATTTAATCAATTGCTTACCAATATTTAAGTAATTACAAATTAGATGTGGATATTTTAATCGTTCGGTTTAACTGGTTCCCTAAGATTCTTGCAATTTTTCCCTATCACCCGATCCTGAAAAAAAAAAGATGGTCTTAATTATATTTTCGCTACAAGACTGAGACCAAATATCCCTGGTTATCTTACATTTTCCTTTCCCCTGATTTACTTACGGCTCACTTCAAGTGAGGCCCGATCCACGGGAGGATTTTGATCCCAGTCCCCCTTGCGGAAGTCATATAACAATCCACTTAACGCCCTTGCTAGTTTTACACTCCTTTTCCAGGTTCCAGTATTCTCGTATCCAGACCTTCCACGGCCAAGCGGTTTACATTTTATTAAGTTTCTCGCTAGTGATTAGTTAGATCCGAAGCTAACTAATTGTGATTGGACCAAAATCAATCTCGGTATTAATATTTAAGTCCTGAAAATGAATATGAACTGAGGCGTACTTTAGGCTTACAACAAAAGCAACATTAATTATTTTATTCCATAGTAATTCAGTTATTTTTTGAAGAAAACATGGAGACTATGAATAACAGTATATTTGTGCATCAAGGTCTGTCTACATACATATATATATATGAGTAAAGATATCTGTATCGCATTGGCTTGGACAACAAAGATATATTTTGACCGGGTGAATTTAGTTGAATTCAGTGAGTATTTTTGTAACCTTGATCAAAATTTAAATTTACTGGTATCCATCCTCACTAATTCGTTTAGTAATTGCAAGAAAATATATTTTACTTCGGTTTTGCCGACCATTCATCGGTCCCCAGTGGCGTTCTCGGCGGCTAAAAAGCTGATTTGATTACGTCATATTCTCTACTAAGAATGTTATTAAATCCCATACGTATAATTTGTAACAGATTAATCGGCGATTTTATGTAAGAATGGTTTCTACCTTACCGAACCCAAACAAATGTATAAGGGGTAGCAATTAATGATATTTACATCAAATCAGCTGTAATTTCATACTTTTTTTCATGTATACCATATATTCAAATATTAAAAAAAATTGTGGTTGAGGTATATCGTTGAGCCATTTTCACAACGGTAAAGTTGCGCAACCAACTAGAATGTTGGCATGGATCAACGGCAGTATCATCTGCGCACCTACCCCTCCCCTGACCCTAGCTTTAGATCAGGTGACTTTTGTTGAGTTAGGGGAGGGGTAGCTGTGCATTTGGTAAGAAACTGACTTGAATCCGTTTGTACAATGAAGAAAAAGGAATCGCACTTGAAGAACAATGTCGTCGAATGGGCGGGTCCTAATCAAACTGCCTTTTTTTTTCCTTCTTTCTTTCCAGTTTTCTTTTTTCTTTATTTATTTTTTTGGCTGCGACCTTTTCGCTTTCTTTTATGTTTGATGATTTTTGCAGTCGCATCACTGGCGTGCACATTTCAACCCAGCTGTTACATTGCCGAACTGAAAATCTCGTTGAAAATCATGACTACGTGGATTTTTGCGGAGAGTTTTAACTTGCACTTTGCTTTACTATTGTGGGTATATAATGGTAAAATCAGAATAAATCAAAATTCCTTTACAAGGCAAACTAGGAAGAAGAAGATCCTGTCTGCATCATTTGCCTCACAAAATTTGCCAGGTTCTGAATATTCAAAGGTCACTAATTAGTTACCTTTTGAAATAGTTTGCGCATGCAAGCGTTGCGGACCTACTTGTCTCGCATTCGTCTCAGATCGAGTAGGACTGGCGAGAGAAATGTTTGACTACGCGCGAATTGAAGATCTCGCTTGTAATTAGTGTATGTAAGGAATTATCACAGATATTTTGGGCCTTTGAGAGAATGGAAAGAGACAACATCTGCTCTGATTTCAGTTGCTCATAGGTAAGTTTAATTATAGCTTTGTTACCTCCACAGGAATCGAAAAAGTCATTCCATTTAAGCGAATTATCGGGTTATTCTATGCAGAAGAGCCTTCGCTTTCTCTCTGATCTAAAATTTCGCTCTTCAGATTTAAAAATTTTAAATTTGTTGCTTTAAAAATAGTTCTCAGAAATAAACGTAAATGCTAGTTTTCGTTAGGCTGATGAGTATCCTTTTCTGTCAGGTCTTAGCCGTAGCCCGCCGATTGAGATCTTCAAATGCATATAAACTTTATTTACAAATTGTACATACCAAACGCGTCTTGTCAACACTGGAAATTACTGATTTGTCAGTGGGCGTTCACACTTTAAATTTGTGGCGAGTATAATTAAAATTGACTTTTCTTGATATCAAGCTTTGCCAACTGTATTAGAAAATACTTTTTGTGTGTGCTGTTAGGACAATTCGTGAGTTGCAGCCTTGTTTAAATTTCCCGCTCTACTGCAGCCATTTTGAACTTCTGTCATGTACAGTGAGTGATTGTTTCATCGATCCTGTGTACACGCTATTGATGAAATTTCTTGTCGCCATGTTGGTGGAGTTAATTTGTGTACTTTGCAAGTAGTAACCTACTATGTATGGCAATTCCTGACCGCCCCCCCCCCCTTCACCCCTTTTGCTGAGGTATGCCAACAAAGCTAACTTGATGACTAGCTTGGGTGTTTGAAGGTGGATGGGGAATGGATGAGTAGTATTGAAAAGTTCCAGTAAATTTGTATGGGCTCCTCAACTACTTCAATTGAAAATTTTTTTTCATGAGAAGGTCTGATAAATTTTATTGCATGCATTGGTTGATTTAAACAAAAATCTTTACTATAAATTTTTTAGAGGAACAAGTTTGTCATGATGTTGAACAAAGCTATGATTCAGAATGATGGGGAACAAGAAGAGGAGTATGGTGGTGTTGTTAACCTTTCAAGTGAGTGTCAATAATGGTTCCTTTTTACAGAGTACTATTAAAGCTTTGTCTTCAGTTGCATAAAGACAAAGGTCCTACGATGAGCTTGTTGGTTCCAGGGTGGAAAGTTCTGGTTTTGAGACCTGGCATTGTGTTGTGTTCTTGGGCAAGACACTGTTATCTCACAGTCCTTATCCATATGAGAGCTGACCCAACTTCACAGACACATTAACGCTGGAGACATAGATGTAAACCTGAAAAAACACTAATGAATGAGATCCCATTGAAATGACAGGACTTGCCTTCTCCTGCCTCAACCTTGTCTCCTTTTTTATTGCAGATCGTAATTTGAAGACAATTGGGCATCTTCCAAAAGGGGTCTCTCCTTACACTCTCCTTTTAAGTAACAATGCAATATCAAAGGTGGAAAATTTACAGTACTTCATCCACTTGCAACAGGTAAGGGACAGAAAGTTCAGTTAAAAGATGGAAGCTTCTCCTTAAATAATTGCATACCAGAATGGTTTAAAGAAAAAATTATTTTACTTTCTCTTGTTTCAGTTATCTTTGGCTAATAACCACATTGTTGACATTAAAGGGGTCAGTGCAGCAACTGGTTTGAAAGTTCTTGACCTTAGTAACAACAGTATTGTCTCAATTGAAGGTATTCTCTCCCTTCTGCTTTACTACTGATTATTATCCTTTAAATATTGTTCACTTGCCTCTCTGGACATGGTTTGAAGCTGTGCACCTTTCTTTGGCAGATACACCCTGCTTAGCTAGCACTAACACTTCTGATCCTGCATGCTTTTATCTGACAATCATATGCAAATTTTATGATCAGCCAAATAGTTGTTTGAGATAGAGTGTTCATTCACCATTGACATTTGCAGTCACAGAAAAAATTGATGTGTGCTTTGAACTGTGTTGATGTACCAGTACTTTAGAATTTACATTTTATTGTCCATGTTTTGAAGGTATCAGTTGGTTAACAAATCTTGAATGGTTAAATCTTTCTGGGAACAACATTGAGGTAAACTGATGCAAATTTTCTGGTTCACTGACTATCATTTATAAACAGACAGATGGGTCCAATTTTTTGAAAACTAACATTCAGGACTCTACATCTACATTAAATAATCCAGCATAGTGATATATTTTCCTTGTTCTCTATCACTGCAGAAAATCGAAAACCTTGATAGAAATACCAACCTGTATCACTTGGATTTGTCAGACAATAGGTAAGGTTGTACTCAAAATTAGATATTTTTATTCATAACTGAAGGTGAATTGAATTAATCTTGTAATAAATTGTGAATAATTTCTGACCTCTAGAGATGTAATGCTGACATTGATGTATAAATGATCATAATGATGATACAATCAATATAAACAAATTGAATCTAATCACTAATTTTTTATGATAATATTGATATAAACTGTAAAATAATGCAAACTTGTATTGAATGATCAACTCTAATTATTATATGGCTACCATTATATATGCTGTGTTATTTCAGTATTGCTGTCATATCAGGATTGAAATCGCTCAGGAATTTAAAGGTATATGTGAATCCATGGGAATTGATTTCCAACTTAAATTATTAACTGCATTGCAGGTTTGTGACAGCATAGGGATTAGAATGTTTACCTTGTTTTTAATTTTTCTAACATACTTTCATTTGACACAGACTTTATTGCTGCATGGAAATCTGATATCTTCCCTGGAAGTCATTAAAGAAGAAGTAGCACGCACAGTCTGCACGCTTTCTCTGGCTGATAATGACATATCAGACCTTAATGAGGTACACTGCCTTGAGTAAATGAACATCTATATGCATACCAAAAACTAAAATAATCAGCAATATTGATGTCTTTCAGATGTTACATTTGTCATCTCTAATCAATTTGGAGCAGTTGTCACTGTTGAACAACCCTTGCATCTTGACTAATGGAAACTGGAGACTGTATCTTTTATTAAAATGTTAAATGCTTACCAGATAACATTAATGTATCTTATGCCTTCCTTTGCTAAATTGAGGCATGGACCTAGGAATTTTTCTTTGCAAGGGGGAGGGGATTCAAACTTTGTTTCAGAAAGCATGGAACATTTTTACACTAGAGCCTCAAAAAGCTAAAAAAATATTTCAATATATTCAGTAAATTTTTATACTTCAAGTTGAGTAGTAAGATGCAATCCTTCTCTGAAATAATTTTGGCTACTGACAAGTAGAGAAAATACCCTCAGGTCTGATGGAGGAAGGTGTGGACCCCCTGATCCTCCCCTGGATCTACCACTGAAAATTCCCTTTCCCCCCCTCCCCCCAACACACACATGAACCAAACATTGGTGATATTCATCAACTGTCAGACCCTTTGACCAATTTAACTTTCTGGTGAATTGAAGAGAAGAGGTTTACACAAGTTGCCATTTCTATTTTAATGCTGTTGACCCAGAAATATCTTAAATTATTCTCTTAACTTTGCCTCAGAGAAGTGAACTACAGGCCTTATCTGGTATATTGCTGTAGAAACCTTAGGAATCTGGATGGACATTTGGTGAACAATGATGAAAGGCAAGTTCATATAATTTTCTTGTATTTGTAAATTCAAGTGGAGTTTAGTGTTCAGTCTAGTACTGACTGCATGAATTACTGCTAACTTGATCTTATTTTCCAGCCCAACATGTCCTTCTCAACAGCCTTTTTGCGAGTAATGATTCTCAACTTAAATGGCATCAGCCAAGTTTATTGATCTATCAAGTGTTCTTATTTTCTTCTTTGTGTTCCTCCTTATCTTTCATTCTCTATCTGCCTGCAGCTCTGTTTCTTGTTTGAATGTACATTTATCTGTACTAAGTCTTGAAACTATCTCTAGGTCTGCCCATATTTTAATCTTGTCTGATTTGCCTGTCTCTTAGGGCTACAACTTCTCCATTGACATTTGTTTGTTTGTCTATTCCTCCCTTGTGTACCATTTATTTCTTGCCCAAATAATTCCCCCATTCTCCCATTTATCACCCCTACATTTCTCTCTCTGTTATCCTGTTTGTTTTTGTGATCAATGCAGAATACTTGCGAGGCTGCTGGATCAGGCATTCAGTCACATTGGCCATCCTTCCTCAGGAGAGCATTATGAACTTGTGTCCATTTTACATCATATTTGCTCAGAATCCCAGGAAGATACCCAGGTATTGTACTTATAGTTTTACTGCAGTTGATTTACACAAATATTAGTGCTATCAGCTGCTATTGGAATCAAGACAATCTATGTGAACACTAGCTTCCTTTTTTCTGTTTTTTCTTACAGACAGCAGGAGCGCATATAGGGGAAGATGTGGGTAGGTGAACCATTTTGTTTGATTCTGAATGATTCATTACTTAGGGTGGAATTTTTGGTAAACAGTACAAGATTGTTTCTTGTTTTATTATTGTTATTATTGCAAATTTCATTAAGGTTTTTTTAAAAATATTCTTTTGTGTGTAATAAATACCATAATGTATGACTCTATTATGGGCACTGGGTATTTTGGACATTGCCAGGTATGACAAAGGCTTCCTCACACAATACCTTTATTTATCTGCACCTCTTGACATGTCTGTTATTTGATTATCGGTCATTAGATTTTATTCTTCCAGACAGCAACACTTTATTGGAATCAGAAAGTTTCTTCATTCCAGTTCCTATCTCTGATGAAGACCAAACAGAATCAGGTATGCTGTATCATTTGCAAAACCTTCCTATAAATTATCAAAAACCTTCATTTGAATAAGTAAAAGCTAATCAAGTCTATTTTCATCTTTGAAGATGATCCCATCATGACAGAAGAAGAAGCTCTGCGACTGTTTAGTTTGGCAGCCACAATAATTCAAGCTCATGTGCGTGGTTATCTGGTGAGGAAGAAGTTTGACTTCTGTCAGTACCGACAAAGAAAATATGCAGCAGCCTGCATTCAGGCAGCTTGGTAAGAAACCTGTATGAAGTTTCATCTTTCCTTGCCTACTCTCTCCCCAGCCTCTATGACTTGTCTTCATACCTTGACTCCATGTTATATTTTCTCCCTCCCCACCCTCAGTCTTCTCTTCTTTCCATCCCTACCTTTAGAGTCTCTAATTTCCTCCATACTCTCCCTCCCTCTCTTTCTTTAATTCCTCTCTCATTTTTCCCTTCTTACTCTGGCTCCCTTCATTCTTTCTCTCTCCTCACCTTCACCCTCTCCCCTATTCCCTTTCCTAACCTCACTCCCTACAGTACCTTCTTTCCTACTACTTCCCTTGCCTCACCCCCTCCATCCTCTCCTTTGGTTCTCCCTACCCTCAACAGCCTCCCTTCTTACCTCTCTTCCCTCACTCCCTCATCCATCTCTTCCTACCCTCACTCCCTCTCCCCTCCTTCCCTTCCCTCTGCTCCCTTCTTCTTTTCTTCCCTCCATACCCCTCCTTCATTCCCTTCTTACCCTCATGCCTCCTTGTCTCCCAACCCCAAAACCCTCTTTGTCTTTCTTTCCTACTTTCATCTCTCTCCATTTCCCTCTTATCTTACTGCCCTTTTATCCTCTCTTTTTTCACTACTGCCATGATTAATAACATTGATTTTTCTTGTTATTAAAAATTATAGGAAGGGATATCATGCTCGTACTAGAGACATCAAAATTGTCAACATAAGGAACGAATTAAGAGTGCGAAGGTTGATATCCCTTATAAACCATTTATATGGTGCATTAGACAGGTAAGCATAAAAATATTTGTATGGACTTGCGTTATGTGCTTACCCGTAATTTTTCCAAGTAGTTCTCAAACTGGCTTTCCTAATAAGATTCTTCTTTCCTGCTTTCAAGGGAACACGAGGAAGCTGTCAAAAGTAGAGAACAGTTTAAGAGGGCGATAGAATATCTGTGGCTTCAGGTATCTACGTTGCATGTAACATAACAATTATGATCTCTGAATGGTCTTGTTTTGCCTCATCTGTTTACTGACAATGACAATTTAAAGCCTTGTATTATGATATCATGATGGTGACGACAATAATGATAATGATAATAGTAATAATAGCAATAGAAATAATTATATTAGTACTTATGGCAATAGTAAAAATGACAATAGTAATAATAGCAATAGTAATAATTATAATAGTAATGATGATGATATCACATTGTAAAGTTAAAAATACTTATCATGACAGACAATCCGGGTGTAAAGATTTTCTTTTGTTTCTTTTTTTAAATGTAGATTTTGGAACAGTCCAAACTGAATGAGGTCCAGCTTCGCAGGGAACAAATGAAAGCAGCCATCAAAATTCAGACTTGGTGGTAAGATGGTAACCTCTAGATTATATTATTTCATTGCAATAAAAGCCTTAATTTTATCTGTTCACATGACTACGTTTGCACCAGTTTGAATGGAACCCAATGTCACCTGTACCTAGCTTGGTACAAAAAAAAAAAACAAAAAAACAAAAATATAAGTGAGAACTTACTTTTGAACACGAAGGACTATCCACAGAATCCACAAAACCTGCAAAAATTTTATTTAAACTCGCAAAATTTTTGTCCCACGATATGTTGTAAAATATGTCAATTTCGTTTTCAATTTCCTTGGTTTGATTTTTGTTCTGTTAATTTTAGGAGAGGATGTATGGCCAGAAAGGTAAATAAACATTTTTCCCATTCAGTTGCTTTATTATCCTACAACCTATTTGTAACTTACAATACATCACTAAGCTCGAAAAATTAACATATATTATATGTCATTGACTGACAAGAAGTATCGTTCACAGCCAGTCCTAAAAGCACTCGTAAAAACGCGGTCAAAACTCGTGCGAGAGAACAACCACGCTGTAGAGACACTCCGTATGACTCTCTCGCATTCGTATCCCCTCTCTTGCGTGTGCCGTCCTAAATTATCCGCACAGGGTTAATTTAAACGCCTGCTAGGGAAGTTTAATCGAAAAAAAAACGTCTCAAGACCATCGACCAACAGTAAAAGTGTTTTTATTCCGTATGGTTTAGCTGTTTCCCCGCAAGAAGATGAACCAGGATCAAGTTGCAATGCTCTTTGCAATGTGTCGCCAGCTACAGACACAGGTGATGAACGCTTCTTTATGTCCTCGCTCAAAAACCTATTTTAGGTCTCTCTCTCCCTGATAATCTTGTTTCTTGAGATTATTTTAACATTAAGCAAAGAGTAGTCTCAAAACTAATAAAGGATAAATTTTGAATCAAAATGTGCGGTTGTTGGGTAAAGGCGTTAACAGGTCAAGTTTGTGATGTATGTGACTCTCGTATTCTTTTCTTTGTTTTTAGTTGAATGTTGTCACATCCCAGATAAATGATCTCACTAAAGGTAACTTGATTTCAATGCTGTGTTGTTTTATGCCCGTTACTTTTGGCTGGAATGTCAATGTTCTACTGATTCGAGATATTGAAAAAAACTAATTGTCATTTGGTAAGTAGTGGACGCAATTACTGCTTTTTATGGAAAACCTGAAGATTTTGCAGAGTCTTTTGAGGATTCGGACTCTCGTTTCAAAATACATCCAGTTAATGTTAAGTTCGGGAGGGTGAAATTTTGAAAGCGTGATTTAGAAAATATGATTTTACCCAGAATTTATTTAGGGTTAAAACGCACAACGCTCTGTGATAGGATCAGAAAACTCACGCCACCTTCTCAACCAATCAGATGCAAAACCAAAACCAATCGCGTCTTGGTCACCTGCGTTTTCCCGCGCTAAACGCAGTTTATGGTGGTCTGTACTCTGATTGGACGTTACTGTTACTTTGGGTATTGGTGTTGACGACAGAATTAAAGGGCGCTGGAACAATAAAAAGTTTGCAAAGCTTGAAGCTTTTTATCTACACCTGCCATATTGGTTCTCAACAATCGCTGACTATTCATTGCAGGTAAAATCCAAGACAACAAATCTCAACACGAAGCTGAAAAGACGGATTCAGAAGGATCGGATCAGTTCTACGACACATTCGACACATCAAAGGAGACCGTAGAAACAAAGTTCGCCGAGGATCCTACGTTATCGCCTCCAGTTCAGCATTCCGATGCTACCTCAGGCCCGTCCCCTGAACGCTCGCTAGTTGAGGAACGAGACGAAAAAGGAGAGCTGAAAAATTGTGATGAAAATATTCCCGTGTCAGGTGAACTGGAGTCTGGAGGCAAATTATTGTTCACAGACGATTCGGTTCTATTAGATCTTGAATTAAACAAAGAAGCTCCACTTGCAGGCAGAATGGATCAGGACGCTTTCGGATTAGCTCTTACAAAGTGTGATCAAAAGGACTCCGGACTGAATATCGCGAATTCATCGAATAGTTTTGAAGGGGAAACCAGATTGTCATCAGCCGCACCGGGAATGGAAGAGAAACAGTTATCCCTTCCTGAAACGAAACGTAGCGAGAACGATACTGAGGAAGCACCCCAAGGACCTTTAGATCTTGAAACGGAGAGAAATAATGATGTTGCACGCGATGTAGGAGAACTTTTCGAGGATAGGAGATCTCCTTCCTCCCTTGACCAAAATGAGCCTCTTTCTGAGAAAGTCACCTCGAAACCTAACGTTGAAACAGGTCAAGTGATGGAGAATACGGCTCCACGTGTTCTTTGCTCGCTTGTGGATTCTCAAGAATCTGATTCAACAGAAAAGGACCTGAACTGGGGAGCATCTGAAGGAAAGAGTTTACAAGCCAGCATACCGGAAATAATTGTTAGTAGTCCAATTCCAACTGATGATGAAGATAGTGACGAGGGGGACACAAGCAATGTCCAGAAGGAAGTTCACAGGAACCAAAAGGAGAGGAAAGGCACAGCTGAAAACTATTCTTACTCCAACTTAGCCTGGAAGTTCTCGAGCTCGTTCCATGTGAAGAATTTAGATCAGAAACTTTCCGGAGGTGATGCAAGTAGTGATAAAACTAGAGATCCCACATCCTTCAAGAAGGAGAGAGATATGCATGAAGAACTCCATAAAAATGAGGTGAAGTCTTTAAGAGGAGCAGAAGGTAGTTTGCCTTTGGCAAAGTCTAATCGCGGAAAACCGGGTGATGATGAAGAAGATGCCACCATTACAAGCAGCTCCGTGTTCCATGAGAGCGTTTCAAGCTTGGGTGAAAGAGCCACAACCTTACTGTCCCAGCTCAGATCAGAAATCGCCAATATGAAGACAGCTCGGCTGGGCGGTGCCTCTTCAGTCATAACGTCGGGAGACGATGGTGCTACTATTGTGGTTGAAAGCACAGTGCATGCAAACCTTGATCCCGAGAATGTAAACAAAAGTTCAGGTGAGCTTGCAACACAAGAGAGCAGCACTGCAAGCGAAATAAATGACATTTCTAAGCCAGAACATGCACCTGCCGTGACGTATCGTTTGCCGTTGTTTGAAGACGTCGACAGTACATGTACATCTCTTTCTCTCGACGACTTTCTGTCAGACCCCGTCCTTGAAAACGTTGCAAAAGACCCCGTATGTGACACTGGATGTGAACCTAAAGAGACAGATGATTAACGCTGCGATGTATCGCGCTCTTTTACTTTTGATCTCTTATTTTTGGAAAGAAGTATGGTTCTTCTGAGAAAACTTGTAGGTGTTAAAATGAATGAGATGAGGTTAGAAATGCGAACAGGCATAGCTCTTCAAATTCACGTTGAGATATATAAATTTTTTATATACATATATATATATTTCGTTATCCTCCGTCAGGTTGAACAAACCACCGAAGGATTTATGTCTGTCCCTTAGAAGCTCAACAAGCTTCTTTGAGTTTTGAGAAAGCAAAGTGATTGCGAGATCAGCTCGTTAGAGACACAGAAAGTTCAAGCGTAAATAAAGTATATTTTTCATCTTAGATGGACTGAAAATTCGAAATTTGATGATAACTCTACATGAATCTAAATAAAATTTTAACATTAAACTTGGGAGTGCTTAATCAGGGGTCACTGTAACGTTGACTGCACTAATGGCACTTCAGTGCGTCACGGCAATTCTAATAGTGCGCGCACACCCCAGGAGGGGCTGAGAAGGCACTCGTTCAATGTTTGAGTGTAAGCGTGTCTCTGATCCCTCTCCGCATAAGAAGAAAAGTGTTTAAATCGACCATAAGAAGCCAAGTCTGATATACCGTGTTTAATCAAAACTATAACAAGATTCTCGAACGTGATTGATCATCACCAGCCCGATTTAAGCATTAATAATATACATGATTTACGCGCTTCTGATTGGCTGAAAACGAGTGCTTTTTTCATGCAACACGAGTGCAAATTACAAATAGCGCGCGCTGCAAACATTTCGTCCGTCTTGACTTTCAGTGATGCGTTTTTCATGTCAATTATTAACAAGTAACAGCATGATTTCGATTGCAATTTGGAGTTAATAAGCACGAATAAATTTTTCAAAGACTATAAAATTGCACGAGCCTGTAGAGCGATTGCAATTTGTGGTCTTTGAAAATTTTTCAAGTGCATATTAGCCCCAAATTGCACTCGAAATCATGTTACCTTTACTGATAGGGGCAGTGCATGTGTCATGCTTTTAATTGAATAGTGTAAGAGGACAGTTAAAGGGACAGTTAACACGTCATGGCTGTGTAAGTGGACAGAACGCATCATATGCACGCATATTGTTGCACATTCCACTGAGTTAACTGGAATTTTTTTTATGAAAACGTATAACCTATGTCTAGTTTCTTTCTCGAATTTTGTGATAGTTTTTATTAATTGGTAACAGGACTTCGAGTTGTCCAATTCTGTCTGTAATCATACGAGTGATACACAAAATTGTACAGCTGCGAAGCAGGAGTGTGATTTGTTTATCACGAGTTGGACTGGATTGGACTCTACTTGGTCCTATTACCATTATTAGTATAGGTAATCACATGATTTCTAGTGCATTTTGAAATAAATAAGCACAAGTAAATTTTTTCGAAGACTAACAAAATTGCACGAGCCTGTAGGGCGAGTGCAATTTGTGGTCTTTGAAAATATTGACAAGTGCGTATTTATTCCAAATTGAACGAGAAATCATGTGATTACATATTAATAATATACATGAAAAAATACAAGATAGCTCATCATAATTATGCAGAAGCAAATTGCGCGCATCAAGTATAAAAATAATTTATTTAAAAAATCAGCATACAATCAAAACAATAATATAAAATGATATTTTCACATCTTTAAGGCGCAAAATAGGTTAAAAGTCCGGCACAAAGATGAACTATGACACAATTTTATTATTCACAAAATTGTCCTCGTAATAAAAAGTTTGATAGAAGTCTTGCAAAAATAATTTCTAATACAATTCAATGGTCTGAAAGATTCTCTTTCAAACAAATCTTATGGTAACTGTAACAGTATAAAATAAATATTTTGATTTGGATATATTCCTCAATCTTTTAAGTATCTTCTTTACATCTCAAAATTATATTATCATAACATTGGTTAACACAATGCAGTAAGAACTAGTATAGCAAACCTTTGTGTCAAAAGGCCTCTGAGTGCTAGGAATGGGAATATCAATTCACTGAATCTTTATCAGTGACAGAAACTTAAATGTGTGTAAAGGACTAGCATTGTTGAGATCAGTAGCTGAGAGGAAGCATTTCTGTTCTCTTCCTTTAACCCTAAAATACCCAAGAGCTGATTCTTAATTCTCCGTTCTAGTTGCTAGACATTTACTAGTAAACAAGTTATGAGAATTTGATGTAAGATCAAGATAACTACTGCCTGATAAGTTTCAGTGTTATCATTATCTGTTTGCTGGATATTGTTTGGACATTATAGGGAGAAGTTACATGAATCAGTCACTTTTGGGAGTTTTTAAATTGTCTATTATTTTGGTCTGATTCTTTCAATGCTGTCTTGCCGCCTAATAGATTACCATGAGTCACGAACTGAAATGGTTTTCAATGTATAACGAGCATAAGTTGTCCTAGGCCAGATAGGTTTCAAAATATTATGACATCTGTTAGCTAAAGTTTCCCTCATGGGTTGATAGAAAGAAGGGTTATAATCAAGTGGTTCTACAGGCTCTATTGTATAGTTTCCCATAAGATACAATGTAAAAATGGCAAACTAAAATACATCTTGATAAACAAAATGGGAACAACTTTAACTGAAGAATATGCTACAACAACAAATACCACATCAACAACAGCAGCAATGAAAAATCTCCTCGACCTAGATGGCTACAGCCTTTGCCTCGCTTTCTAAGCCATACTGAACAACTTCTGTGGTACTTCCTGTAATGTGTTCCTCTCAACACAATGTGGCGATATTCTCGTGAAACCACGGGGTAATCGTAAAGCTGAATGAAATTCATGGTAAATTACGGAGACTTCTCGACCATCCAAGGGCTGAAATCCTTACCATAGTTGCTTCGTATTTGAAGTCACTCTGGTTTTGTTCTAGGTCCTGGACATCTGTAAGAAGTTCTAGGTTTTCTCCGCTACTCGATGGAAGGATGTGTCAGATCAGCAAAGCATAAACTTTCGACACTAAGTCGGCTCTAATTCCGCCTGTCGATTTTGAATTAGATTTTAAAATCTCCCTGAAATCTTTTGCTTCGAGTTTCTGGATGTTATCTAATGACGAAATTTCCATATTGTTGTATTAAAGAACCATTTTGTAGAGAGAAATCGCATTGAAAAGTGCATAAGAACGTGAAATGTCAGCAGATCAGCTGTTTGAAAGCCCAGCCTCGTTATCGTGTGTGCGCGGTTACTAATCCAGTATGGCGCGGTCAGCATTAGATTCCATCCACCAAAACCACCTCGGTCGAGAGGGACTGAGATGGAATATTTAATGACTTGCAAAACATAACCGAAGATTCTCGGAAATCCGCAAGTGATGTAGCCGAACATTCGAAGCTGTAAATCCCATGATTCTTGAGGAACAAACAGAACAGCATAGCGAGAATTTTAAGTAGCGAACCATTGCTTGATGGTAGACATGCTGATAATTTAGGATACGTCAATTCTGTTGATGAGGCGCATAAACTTATTGCGGAATTTGAAACAGGATTGACGACGAAGTTTTCTTTCTCTAAAGCTGTCAAAGGTTTCGGGAACGCCGGTGTATATATATATATATTGATATAGCTCTTTGGCATTACAAAGCTTTGCTATCGCCATTGTGCATTCTCACTAGTTTATCTAGTTCAAGTCCTCTGGCATGGCTTGGATGATACCACAGTTGTGGAATCATTCGGGTTAACTTAATGCTTACACCTCCTTCCTCGGACAGAAGTCACAAAATACTCGGGGAAGATGCATGAGATATTTAAGGAGCAAAAATTCGTTTTTTACTGGTGTGCCTTTCCTAATTTTGGGAAGGAAAGTGTTCAATTGCCAGCACGGCATAGATAGAACAGCTGGATAGAAAAGGAAACGAAAATATGCAGAAGAAGTACTGTATATAATAATAATTTCTTTTTATCCTCAACCTTTGTGTTACTGTCAACTATGGCTTGCTAATTCGAAAGGTCAAATACATGAATGGGTCATATAACATTGATCTCAGAATACTTTTATGACAAACGTGATAACAGTTCAATCTTGGCTAAATTGAAGATGGTTAGAAGTTAACAATTATAAGAACTTTTCACTAACATATGCTGCTGACAAAGTAGAAAATATATGCAATTCTGCATTTTTTGCTTTCTATCAAGCAATCATATATTGGCTCCTTATCACACTATGATACTTCCGTTTTGTCACATTCCAAAAAATAACTTGAGAAATACACTGTCACTTATCTTACACTGTTATATTTACCTATTACAGAAGGCTGGAAACAAAGATTTTGTTTTCAAGAAAATAAGATTTCTTTTCCAAGACACAAGGAAGTTTGACTGCAAAACACAGATAAAAATGCGAGAAATTTTATTTCTTTCAGAGAACAAGGTAGTTCTACTCATGTATAAACAGAACAAATCTGGTTTAATAAATCAGATATGTGGCATGACTCCTTTTCTTCCATCCCCACTCAAAACAAGCAAACACACTTATAGAGGTTCCAGTCTGGTCTGCAAATGAAAAGGAGGAAGGTGATCACTGCAAAATTAAGCATTAGGGTTCTTATTTATAACATATTGATTATTGTATACTGATATCAAGAAATTAAGGTTGCAAGTAGCAGCCAGCTGAGTTATAGTTTGAGTTTTATCAAGTCCATTACTTTGTTAAATTTAGAGTTACCTTGTCTTGAGAGAGGGAAATTGAGGAACTGTAATATACTTATCATCAATTAGGGACCACAAAGAAAAATTTATTTATAGAGACTTTTGAAGGAGAGGGGTAAGACTTGTGACAAGCTGGCAGACATATACTAGATAAACTTTACTTCTAAATGGGTTACAATATGAAGTGCTCAGTATTTGGATCAGCTATGGCTCAACTTAAACTTTGCTTTAGCTTCAAGTTTAATCCTTTGTGGTTTCCTTTCTCTGTGTTTGTTTTTCAAGTTATGTTACACAAAAGAACACAAAAATGACAAGGAATGCTTTTGAATATTAAGAGGCTGGAATAAGCCAAAAAACTGAATTTTAAACAGTACAAAGTTAATTTGATCTTCCAATGTTATTTAATTTTAACCATTAACAGAATTTGCTATTTAAATTTATCCCCTCCATTTTTCTGGATATTGTGAGCAAAAACAAACAATTATCACAAAATGCATGGTATACAATGGTTTGATTCACCAATATGGCAAAGGCCTTTCACTGTCTATCCATAAAAAGGGAAATAATTTGTAAAATGTAAGACATTCTGCATCTTGAGTGTATACTTATTCATCCATGTGAAATTAAAGGTTACTTGAAATAAATGTGAAAGATTTATAGGATTTTCAGACCCCTGATAACAATTTTTGATGTGCTGATTTGTTGTACTTAAAGGTTATGATTTTAGCAGAAATAGTGGAAGAAATTTCTGGACCTGGGATTTTATTGCAAATGTCTGTTTAAGTCAGTTTAAAACTCTCCTGTTTCAAGATTACATGATTGCCACACCAGAACCTTTTGCATTCTATATTGTGCACCATGTTATGATTATGGTTTCAGTAATAAAAGGTGCTGACTCAAGAACTTTGCAAAATATCTCTACATACAAAGAAATAGATTGTGGTTATGTACTCCAAATAGCAGGTCACATCAGTCTTTTGTAAGGAAGTAGCAGAAATTGCTATGGTGGTTTTGGTGGATGGAGAGAAACATCCACCAAAACCACTTTATTCTATGTGTTATGAGTTATGATAATCATTAAGAACATTTGGTCGGTCAGCATAAAAAAAATAAAAAATAATTAGCCAGAGCACTAACTGCTAATTATTGGTATAAATCTTTTGTCTCCCTTAACATCTAACAGTGGCTATAGCTAAAATTAAAAAAAATATATTGTTGATGGTTTTGGTCAAAGTTTTGGTGGATGTTCCCTAATGACATCCACCAAAACTACGTAACATCTAAGCACCTTTTAAATACGTGAAATATCTGCATAAAATTGCGTAAAATGTTTTATAATACTACAATCGAACAATAAATTAATACTTACCATTTCTTGAGTAAAAGGTTTTGACGCAATTTCCCAAGCAAATAATACACTTAGGTCATCGGGATAAGTCGGCATGTTGTCGTAGCTTCGTAATTTTCATTTAGTATAACAAGTCATGAGTTGTCCATCATTCCACCTCAGTCCCTCTCGACCAAGGTGGTTTTGGTGGATGGAATCTAATGCTGACCGTATGGCGCTGGGAACTGTGAAAAGGTCTATTGTTCCTTCTATGTCCGAATCACTTTCGATGAAATCATAGTTAACATAGTCCCCTCTACTAACTATGATGAAATGGAATCGTCGTTTGCTAGGTTAAACCATGTTTGTTTTTAATAATTTTAACCGGTAGCCGAAAAGGCCTAACGATTAAGACCCTCTTTGTACCATTTGAGGACAATTTATTTTGTTACATTTGAGGACAATTTGTTTTGATACTCTTCGGAAGATGTGAAATTAATCTTTTTGTTACACATTAGCGGTTTCCCTTGCTCTAAAGACGATTGTGATTCGCTATTTACTAATCCTGTAATAAATAAACCATCATTTTAACTATTAACTATTAAATGTTAAATATTAATTGTTGCTCTTCTGGGTGACGTCAGCAAATCACTCGCAATGTCGGACTCCAAGCAAGCAGCACAGAGTTACCAAGAAAAGACGGTACGTCAAAGAGAGGAAGGAAAAAGTCTGATGAACGATGTAGAGATTCATCGCGGAGATGTCATCTTAGATTTGGGCTGCGGTACTGGAGAATTGTCTGCGTATTTGGCCGAGCTCGTAGGTCAAGATGGACGAGTCGTTGCCGTTGATCCTGATGTCAATCGGCTTCAAGTGGCTCGAGAATCACACGGGGATGTAAAAAATCTCGCATTTCATGAGGGAAGTTCTTCAAACTTCCCAAGAATGGGTTCAGAGACTTACGACATCGTCTTCGCCAACTCTGTGTTTCAACGTATCCAGGATAAAGAAGAAGCGTTCAAGAACATGTTTCGGAGCCTAAAACCAGCGGGGAAAATTGCCCTGTCTTACGGCGATCACTTTATTTCTGGATTTCAAAAAATTTATGGTGGACTTCAAAACTCAGAAATGATGGAACTCATGCTAAGCAAACTTTATTTCGAGAGAAGGTCAAAAATTGAGGGCATGTGTTCGGCTGCGGGATTCGACATCGTGAAAAGTGTCGACGTCAAGATGAAAGATTTTGAGTTCGAAAATGTTGAAAGTATGTGCTCATTTTACTCGGTATATTTGCAAGATGCGTTTGATCCAAAGCTCGTCACGAAAGACAAATTATCGAGTTTTTGTGCTCAGTACACAAGTGGGATAAATTCTACACCGCTAAAAATGTATACTGATGAAGAAGATTACTACTGTATATTGATAGCAGCCAAATCATAAAGAACGTGACGGCCTTTTAGATTATTGTTAGATTTGCATCAGAGAAGCTTGGTTGCGTACTCGAGTTCCTGTGGAATCCGTAATATATCGTTTATGGCCGGAACGTTTGTAGTGTAAACGAAATGACCATTTAGTTTGCTGTGTGGAAACAGTAAAGCACTATGTCCCTGATTAAAAACAATGCCAGTGAAGCGATGAGAATCGGCATCAATGTAGCCGTTTTTGTTTTGAATGCGTGAAGTTATGAATTTGTTTCCCCGAAAACAACGCATGTAATCTCGGTAACATTTATGAAGCCAGAAATTGATTGATTTTCTTCAGTTAACCTAGTCCTTCCAGTGGGCGACATTTCGTGTCAGAGACTGTGTAAATTTGGTCATATGCATATGAATAAGGTTATGGTTGAATTTGCAAAATGTTAGAATACTTTTCAACTACTGCGCAGGCGGGTAACGCAAGGTAATTGTTATTGCGGTCAGATGACGTTATCTCGTTACGGAACAATATTTATCCACACAGATAAATCAGATCTTTTTTCTTTCTCTTTAAGATATAGTAATGAGATATTTTCGTAGTTAGATTTTCCGTTACGCTCTTATAATGTTACAAAAATGAAAACATCAGTTATATAGAGTGTCCCTCCCCAAACAGCCCCAAAAAAATAACTCTTGCATGCGTTCCATGCCAATGCTTTCTTAATGGAGGGGAGCTGTAGATATAGCGAAATTATGGAGATGACCTCGTCAATTATTATCAATTGTTTGTATATAGAATAAGAAATAGAGAAAGATGTTTTTAGTCTTGTCACGAGCGTAGGACAAAGGAAAAGAAAAAGAAAAACATCCGAGTTCCCATGAAGAATCGAACCTCAGACCTTCGGTTTCCGTGGTCCGCGGTTTTACAATTAATATGTCGGGATATCAGCCCTGTTTGAGCCAATCGCGACGATGAGTTGCAAGCAAATGTTAATCGTATTGTCTCTTTCTACGCACCAAAAATTTACGTTGTAATTTTTTTGACCTAAGTGAAGGGAGGAGTTCCACATTTATCGTGAACTTAGAGCAAGGAATAATTACTCTTTCGAAAGTATTCTCGTTCCGTGGCAGTTTCCTTGACAATCATCAATAGTGAGTTCGCTCTTTCGCTCGCTTCCACCACCTGAGGGCCTGAGTCGGACCTGATACCTGATTTACTGGGACTAAAAAAGCACAGAAGACTCTGTTACCTCTGTCATAGCATTGTGAATATAGAAAATACATTTTCAAACAAGTTAATGAAAAGTTCAGATTTAGAAAGAACTACTGAAGCCAAAAACCCTCTCAAATTGATAGCATTTGAGCAAGCCCTCATAATAAGGGGGTCCAATGTACGAGGCTAACCTCGCCCTTGCATAAGTTTAGAGGCCTTTAACATAGCCTTCGCGTAGCCGTACCCACCCCAACAAGGTACTCGCCTCCGTTTCACCTAAGGGGGGGGGGGGGGAGAGGGTGCGGCTACACATAGGACAACACAAGACGGCGGGAGGTCTTCGCGGGTGGTCTGGCACTAATTATTGGTGCCAGATCCCTTGCAGACCTCTCGCGGGATTCAGTGGCCTAAACTTCAGGAAGTAATCGAAATGTCTAAATCCAAAGATGTTGCAAAGAGTTACCGGCAAGTGTCACTTTTTCAAAGAGAGCATGGACAAAAACTGATCGACGATATAGAGATTCATCGCGGACATGTTATCCTAGATTTGGGCTGCGGCACTGGAGAATTGTCTGCGTATCTTTCCAAGCTCGTAGGACAAGATGGAAGAGTCGTAGCCGTTGATCCCGACAGTTATCGAGTAGAAGTGGCGCGAGAATCACACAGGGAAGTCAAAAATCTCGAATTTCAAGAAGGAAGCTCTGCCAGCTTCCCAGGAATGGGCTTGGAGACTTACGACATCGTCTTTTCCAACTTTGTGTTTCATTGGATTCAGGATAAAGAAGAAGCATTCAAAAACATGTTTCGGAGCCTGAAACCAGCTGGAAGAATTGTCCTGTCTTACGGGGATCGCTTACCTTCCTTCGTCGATAAAATTTATCGTGAACTTCAAAACTCAGAAAGCATGGAACGTATGCTAAGCAAACGTTGGTACGAGAGGAGGGCAAACATGGAAGAGATGTGTTCGGCTGCAGGACTCGACATCATAAAAAGTGTCGACGTCAAAATGGATGATTTTGAGTTCGAAAGTGTTGAAAGTATGTGCTCATATTTCTGGCCAGCGAATCAAGGCGGGTTTGTTTCAGAGTTAGCCACGAGAGATAAGGTATCGAAGTTTTGTGCTCAGTACACAAGCGGGGAAAATTCTAAACCGTTGACGGTTTATACTGATGAAGGAGATTATTACTGCGTATTGATTGCAGCCAAACCATAAAGAAAGTGTCGACCTTTTAGATTGTAATCAAAATTGCAATTAGAAAACGTTGTTTAAGTATTCGGGTTCCAGTCGAATCTGGAATATGTCGCTTTTAACCTAGAAGGTTGTAGTGTAAAAAACACTACCATTTCGGCAGAACGCTAAGCGGATTGCGTGTCAACAGCAAAGCATTTCTGTCTCTGATGGACCTGCTTTGTATCGTTGAGAATCGGTTCAAGTAGTAAGCTTTGATTTTCCTTTCCCTGAAAATAACTGATGCGATCTCGGTAGTATTTATGACGCAGGCAATTAAACATTTTCCTTTGTTAACCTTGTTGTTACAGCAAACAATATTTTGTGTCACAGAATGATAATTTTGTCATGTTGCGGTGTAGATTATGGTTCATTGCGCGCAATGTCGAAATACTTTTCAGCTACTGCGCAGGCGGGTAACGCGAGGTTATCACGGTCAGATGAAGTGGTGGTTTGTCTAGTCGGCCGCTTCATTGCAAGAGAAGGCTAGGCTTGAAATTGCGCCTAATACAGGCGCCAATGCGCTTAAATTTTTCACTTTGGCGACCAAATACTGAAAATTAGTCGCCAAGCGACTAGAATTTTTCATAATAACCTTACCAAGAGATATAGTGAATTAAAAAGGCAAACTTTTTCGTTAAGTTTGTTTTCAAAACGCAGCACACGCATTAGCCGATGCGGGCTTTATCCTGGTGTACCGGTTAACCAAAATATGTCCTGGTGTGCCGGTTAACGAAACTTGCGTGACATTGGTCAATCGAATAATAGCGTGACAGCTAGATAATTTGATAAATAATGAATGCTTTGATAATAAAATACAATAAAATGCCGGCATTGGTTCATTGTTGGGTTATTTGAGTCGTTTGGATCTTTTGGATCAGCTGGGTCATTCGGGCCAGTTGGGTCACTTGGGCCAGTTGGGCCAGTTGGGCCAGTTGGGCCAGTTGGGCCAGTTGGGCCAGTTGGGCCAGTTGGGCCAGTTGGGCCAGTTGGGCCAGTTGGGCCAGTCATCAGTTATCTATAAACCAGATGAATTTTTAATTGCCGATTTCCTGCCACAATTGCTAAAATACAAACGCTGACCTAGGCGCCTGTTAGTTCATTCTAGCTTTTCCCGCCATCAAAGAAGGTGCTCACAAAAGTTACGTAGTTAGTTTTTCGATATTCGACATATCATGGACACTCAGAGTAATGTCACATCTACCGCGGAACTGGAATCTCAGCTGGGCCAAATTATTCTTTCTATTGAAGAAGTTGTACCCCAACGCCTTCGTCAATGGCTGACGGCGTTCGCTTGTAGCAATGGCACAACGAGCGAGATGCTACTTTGTTCAGCTCTGGTGTCTACGAGCTCTTTGCTCGGTCAGACAACACTGAAGATTTTTGGTTCCTACGAGGAGAAGGCAAACCTTCATCTGATCGCTACTGCCCCCTCTGGAACGGGGAAAACACCAGCGTGCCAGAAAGGATGCGTGGAGCCAATCGTGGGCCATGTCGAGGAGAAAATTCAGACCAGCATTGTGATTGATGAAACATCATCAAGCGGCCTATTCAACCATTTCCTGGGAGGTTAGTTTTTATTTGACATCGACAGGAGCTCCTAGCATTGATTATTATCCTTGGAGTGTAGTAAGCTTCAGCTAATATTATAAGACTTAATGAATCACTGAAGGAAAAAATTCCTGATAAATAATTTAATGAATTTGAGAAATTTTCTTTAACCCTTTAACCCCTAAGAGTGACTAGCATTTAATTTCTCCTCACAATGTCATTCCTGAATCAAATGAAGATCATGAGAAAAAATGAAATGATCACTAAGTAAAGAAGCTCTTGACTGTTAAAAAATTGTCCCTGTCAACACCATATGAAATGTATTAAGAACACTGTGGAGAATATTCCTATCAATGCTAGGGTGTAAAGGATTAAATGATTCTCTAGAAGGACTACTGATCTTGTGCCCTCCATTCTTGGGGCTAAGCTGAGGGGCTCCCATGTGAAACAGACAGGGTTGCTTACTGAAAATATTGAGTTAAACCCCTAAAGGAGACCAATGTGGACTTGACTCAGATGTAAATAAGTAAAAGGCAATATTTTTTTCCATTTCTTTACGTGTCCCCCATAGGGTCTTTAATATGTTGGCATTTTTTTTGGAAACACCCAAAGCAAGCTCAAACATCTGAAATTTACACTCCAAAGCAAGACAATGAACACCCCAGTCTGTTTTGTATGGGGGTCCCCCTGGGCCCTTTACTCTGCAATTAAGGGTAAGTGGGTAGAAATTATGGGTAGTATTAGAAATAATTTCAGCTCTAATTTACAATCAGTTGTCCAGGAAAACAGAATATAACCAATTCAGTACATTTTATTGCAGCATCCACAGTGCCAATCCTTTGTGTGGATGAGGCATACTCTCTCCTACAAAGACTGACATATCAGGGAAAATCAACATCACAGACAAGCCTCTCAATGGAACGCCTATGTAAATGTTACGATGGAGATTTTTGGTACGTACTAAAAGGGACAAAAGGCAAGCAAGTTGGAGTAACTTCAGCTAAACTAGCCCTCCTAGCTTTCACCACCCCTCAGCAGTTCCTGGAGTCAGTTTGGCCAAAAATTGTAGCCTCAAAAAATGGGCTGGCAGAGAGGTTGCTGTTTTTTTACCAAAGAAGATCAGAAGATCTTGACCTGGAAGCCATGGCAGAAAACTCTGACTCCCTGGACGAGTTTTCTGTTAAATCTCTTGGCGATGTATTCGAAAAGATATATGTGGAACATAACACAACCCCAGCACTGAAATACACACTGACTGCCACTGCTAAGGAAGTTTTCTTTAAATTTAGCAAGCCTAATGAAGATGACAGCCAGGATGCAGTTGCCAGTCCAAGTATTTCTTCAGGTTCAAAGAAATACAAAAACACTTTACGTGTTGCTTTAAATATGCATGTCCTTTATCACCGGCTAACCAAAGCACTTGCCTTGGAGTCAGGGACAACACCCACAACAATCACAGCAGAAACCATGCAAATGGCAATAACTTTCATGGATACTCTTGAGACCATGAAGGGAATCTCAGAGCTGGTGAGTTTAATATAACAATAATGATAATAATAATTATTATAATTGTCATTATTATAATAATCTATTATGGTGACCCACCTGGAAAGGAAATGACCATATCCTGGACAATGGGGGCATTTCTTTGTTCTAACACCACCACATTTACTCTACATCTGAAGATTTTAAATTACTCCTGATGAGCAATGCAAGACTTACATGACATTCCCAACCAAAAGATCACATGATTAATTAAATTAATTAAGTTTAATTTTTTATTTCAAACTGATTGGAAAAAGAACAAAACAATTCAAACTACAAGATACATGGTTTGCATTATGCACTCAATATTTAGTGGACTGCTGATAACATAAAAACTTTATGGTTTATTTTAATTTGAGCCAAATGGGTTTGTTTTACAGTCTTGCCATCTGCAGAAGTCCTCAGTAGGACTCAAAGTGGGAGTGTTGGGTGAAGACATCCAAAAAAGAATTCTGTCTCTCCCTGGTCCTTTTGTGTGTGTAAGAAGAGTAGTGCGGAGCTATTCTTCTACTAGAAGACCCAGCAGTAAAGCAGCCCAGGAAGCCATGGCAGCCTTACAGGAAGCTAGAATAATTGGTTCCATCATAAAAATTAATAAGTTGGTAGTCTTCTGCAAAAAGCTTCCAACAGTTGTAAGCCCACATGCAATTGCTGCTTGTGGTTTGACACCAGAAGAGTACCATCAGGCATTCCTAAAAAAAGATAATAAAATCACAGTGGACATGCACGAAACTGTCATGAATGCTCATCCACAAAAGGATGAAATTCTAGCATTCTTAGAGGCAACAGAGTAGAACTTTTAATACTGTACTTCTTGTCTCTTTGATATATTTTTGTTGTGTCTTGACTACAACATATGTACATAACATTAATAGCAAATTGCATACATATTTTATTTTTTATATAATTAGGTGTGTTGAAATCAATCACAAATTGAAACAAAATTTTATGCACAGAAAGATGGTATCTAAAAATCAATGTAGTTCGCATTCCTTTTAAATTTATTAAATTAGTATATTTTGATGTGATATTTCAAAAAATGAATGCTCAAAGAAAATAATTACATAACTGAATTAACTAAATTCCTTGGATAGTAAAGAAGGAACATGTGGTAAATCATTATATTTTTGTTGTCTCCTGACTGCATTAGATGTACATAACATAGCAAATTGGATACATAATTAATTTTTTTACATAGGTTTATTAAAAATTTTTCTTAATCACAAATTGAGACAAAAGTAATATTGTGGAGTAAGATAGTTTATAAAATTTATTTTGTTCATGATTCTTTCATATTGTATTAGTATATTTCGATGTCATATTTCAAAAACTGAACACCCAAAGATAATAATTACATTACCGAATTAATAATAAAAGTTCCCGTTCATTTCAATCATGTGCACTTTGTTATATCTACTGAAACAACTGCCCAGATTATGTTGGGGGTGATGGTGGGTGGTGGGGGAAGATGTTGAAGTTTCCATTTGACTGGCTTGTAGAACCCTATTCCTAATGGTTACTAATACTGATTCCCTGCCAATTAGTTTTAAAAAACTCAATTTGGCTAACATTAGGTGGTACTTACAGTATCCAAAAGAGTATGTTTAATCAGAACCAGTTCAGTTCAACCTGCTTTTTGTAAAGCGCTTCAAAGCCTTTAGCCACTTTCTTGATGCTTTGGAGTTTCCCATCTATTTGTTTGGCTTTCTTTGGTTGCAAGGGACTTCCAAGATTTTTTGAAATGTCATGAAGTTTGGAGTAGTATTCATACACTCTTGAAGGTTCAATGCTTAGACCCTTCAAAGATGCAAAGTTCACAAGACAGTCTAATGTAAGACTTTCAATCTCAGACCATCCAGATACTGGAGTTAAACCTTGACTTGTCAGATAATCAAGACTGGAGATGCTCTCTTTGGCCTCTTGTAGTTTTTGCTTGGGTCGGTACCTTGAAGTTGTTACAAGTGTGTATGCCTGCTTGGCAGCCTGGGAGCTGCCATAAGGATTTCCACAACCAACACATTTACATCGATGGGAGCAACCAGCTATTTTAGAGTAGCATTTACACCGGCTCTTGTTACCATTTGGTACTTGACAGCAGAATTTTCTTCCATCCTTCTTGGCAGAACCACGACCGCATGAGCAGTGCTCAGGCACCTGTTCCTTTGGAGAATTATTGCTACATGTACTTGTGGAACTAACATGGGGTGGGATAGCTTCATTCACGTTCTCCAAAGATACCACATTGTGATATAATTCTGGTTGACCAATACTGTATCCCAGAAAAATTGCCTTGGTAGCTGTGCAAGGCAACAATGGGGAAACTGGTACTACAGGCATGTGGTCCAGTGATGTAAAGATGACTATGTTCAGTCTCAGAATCTGGGATAGTGCAATTCCTATGACATTCCCCAACTCATCTGAAAAAAAATGAAAGTCTCAGAGAGGCTTTTTGGTGTGCTTAACTATGCAAAATCAATCCTTATGGATTAAACAAAAGGTGCAAGTTTAAATT